TTCGTCTAATATTTTTGTTTTTATAAAATATATTTTTTATAACACAATTTTTTTAAAGAATATTCTAGAATTCCAGCTTTGGCTTTTATATAATTTTGGAATAATTATTGATATATGAAAATGTAACCTAAGAGATAAAGTTCTGTGAAATATATCAGATGCTTCTTATTAAAAAGACTTGCTGCTATTATGCTAATATTATGTACTAGTTTTTCCCCGCGACTTCGTCCGCGTTAGTTTGGTCAAGAGTAATATATGTAGGTATAGCTGACCAGGCGAACTCTATTCCGTCTTAGAGGCCATAAATAATCAGGTTTTTCCTGTTTCAATCAAACAGAATGATTGACATATTAGTTAGTTGTCAAATCTAATGTCACAAAAACGTTTGTATGGGAAATAGAAAAGGGCTGTCTTTAGGGTTTTCCCGGCAATTATTCCAATTTTTCTCACCTTTTAAACCATCCCTGGACTTCCAGGAGTATTTCAAGACTAAAATTAGCCAAATCGGTTCAGCCGTTCTCGAGTTTTAGCGAGACTAAGGAACAGCAATCCATTTTTATATGTATATATAGAAGATTATTAAAGTACGAAAATTTTTTCATCACTTCCAGTTTGTAATTTATTATTAACCGGATTCAGAGATATAGTTCCAGCAATAGATATCCGGCTTGTATGACCTATTTTTGTCCAAAACTAAAGCTGTAAATCTTGTTATATTTATAATACAAAAATAAATTAATGAATAGTCACGAAATGTAATTTAAACGGGGTTTTGAGACGGCCATATCCATTAAAAGCATCATTTTAATTAAATCCACCTGTGTGGATTTACATTGAGACACAATTTATGCTTAACCCTATAAGATAAATTTCTATGTTTGACCAAAAACTTTATTTAGCTTAAAAATATTTAACCATTTTAAGTTGGACTCAATACGTAGTTTAATGATAACTAAATTTGTATATAAATTATGTATTTAGATCGTTTAACTAATGTAGTGATCAGGGTAATATTATAGTAGAAATACTGTGACTATTTTGTGTGTTTTATCACAATAAAGTTTAAGAAAAATGACGCGAAACAACTGAACGTCAAGAAGTTTATTGATAGGATTGTTATATGAACATTATATTCGTGTTAAAATATTTAATAATATGGTAATTTCTTGGTACTATATTTGCATCTCTTTAAGTCAAGGCTGCAACCTTGCAAGAGCATGTTATGGCATAGCTCCCTACATAATTGGATATCATAATTGGATTCTGCGTGCGTACTCAGCCTAATCTAATAAATGTTCTATGTTAAAATATTATTTCAATAGAAGTAAGTTTTATACTTTCAAATGGTCAAATTTATCTTGTATTATTTCATGGTAACTTTATTCAACTGTAGTATTTATATATAAAATCATGAATTTGTTTCATTACATGTTGATTTGTTTCATGAATGTTTAAAGTCGCTAGCGACTATGACGGCCGTTGTAAAATTTTTTCATTGTGTCCAAAATTGATATCATTATATTGAATATTTCCATATATAAATCGAATTTCACGAATGAAAATCTACGATCGTCATTTGCGAATGAAATAAATTTATAACTAAAAAATTTATTGGAAATGTATTTTGCAACGAAATCAATTCAGTAAACGTTTGTATTCGGAAACGTCGGGGACTCTGAAAATATTTTCCGATATCTCGCCTAAGTGACGTGGTTAAAATGGTGAAAATAGGTCAACTTATTCTGTTTTATATCATTATGGAGTGTTGATTGTAAATAATAATGTGTTTTGTTATTAATCTTTATATAGGGTGACTGGTGAATTACTATCGATACTTGAGGACGTGATATTTGACGATCATATGATCATATGATGACAAAATAAAAATTAAGATAACATAAATATTAATAAACTTCTGAGTAAAGTTAACCAAAAGTTATGTAATTAATTACGCATTGTGTGAACACCCTACAGATTAGGTATACACACACACGCACACACACACTCGCGCGCGGCGGCGTGGTGTTGTATCAGCACGCCGCCGCACGCGTCCACACTTGGAACGCTTGGAACGTGTCCACAATTTATTTATTTATACGGAAATTTGGTCAAAAATTAAGTACCAATTTTTTTTACATAATTCGAATGAGAATCATGTACCGAGTATTCTCCTTAAATATTGATAGTAATTCACCAGTCACCCTGTATATGAAAAGAAAGTTGTGTTACTTACACTATTTATAACTCAATAACTCATAAGGATCTGGCTGAAAATTGGTGGAGAGATAGTTTAGAACAAGGCAAAGGACATAGGATAGTTTTCATCAGATTGAGAAAAAAAATTGTGGATGAAATCCAAAATTATCTTATCTATTGTCTTTAAGGAGGAATAGAGTTCGCCCGGTCAGCTATACATTTCTACTTCTGAAACTAACGCAGACGAAGTCGCGGGTAAAAACTAGTATTTGTATATATTTATTTACAATGCGTTGATTAGGGTTGTGAACATTAATTTAATTATGAATGTAGGATAAGTGATTTCATATATTAATGGCCAAGAAAAAGACATGACGCCTTAGATAAATATAATTCAAAGAAATAAATTAACTCAATTGACATTTCATGGTAAGGGTTATTCTTAATTCAAATATCAGTGTTGAAAAGATGAAAAAATAAATTTAAAATACGTATATAATAATATATTTATTTTAGTTTGATGTGAAACAATATATATAAAAATATAGGAACCATAAAGTAGGTACTTCAACTATGAATTGCAATGTTTAAGCAATTTGTCGCAGTATACTTGATTTATTGCGAATGAAAATATAGAGACGCTTTTTGCGGCCATTAGCTGTGATGGTATCGGATTCGTGCCAAGATGGCGCCACTTAACCGGTTGCAGCTGCTTACTTTTTCTCTAGACGTTTTTAAGTTGGCATAATGAATGCTCAATTGTAGTGGTTTATGAATGAAACAAAACTATGTAGTGTATTTATTTTTTGTATAACTCTGGTCTATTAGAAGGTTACACCTAATAAAATGGTTACAGTTAGGTTTTTTCTATATTAGCGTGTAATAGCAGTTTTATATCATAATTTTACATTTTAAATTAATGTATCTATATCTAATGCATATATTTATACATTTCATTAGATGTATTCAAGTAAATTATAATTTTTAAAAGATATCCATCTAATACTCTTTCGAGCGAAGTAAAATTGTTTTGGACGCTTTTAAATAATTTAAAATTTCACAACACGAAGCTTGGGTGCACTTTTTAATGGAAAATATCGTGGCCCCGTGAAAAATGATTGACATTGACAGATTGATTTTATCACCAGCTCGTTAATAGCAATACGACCTTGTTTCTGATAAAATTAAAAAATATTTTAAATTTTGCGCTTAATATGAAAAACCATGATATTAAATATAGGAGATCTAATACTTTCGCGAGTATTCATTTAAATGAAATTAATATTTTTCGGATTATACTATGCCTATTTATATATATGCTTGATTGTTCGTGTTTGTTCGAGATGTTTAAATGAATTAAGTGTCTGACATCACGTTCATTAAAAATGAAATCATGATATCGGTATAAGGTGACACAAGTATATGCGCACTGACTAATAAATAGTTTGATGAATATTAATTTTGTAGGTAAGCATCAGAGTATGTATATATTTGTACTTCCTATGACAAACACTACTATATATTATATGCATTTGTTAAACATTTGTACGTGTATTACCCACTTTATGTTGATACGAAGTGCGCAGTTTAAATGTAAACATACCCTTTAATTTTAAATAATAAATAGCATGCAAATAAAATGTGCATTGATACCTTGCTTCATTAATATTGATTATATAAAGGTCTTGTTGTTTTAAGATGTGTTTCATCATTGATATAAATAAAGTATATATGTAGTCTTTTATAAGCATTCTGTAATGCGTATAAGTGTTCATATAATGTAGACAGTTTCCAGTTCTTTTCCTATGAATTAAAATTACACTTATTACTATTTTACAAATTGTTACGTAATTCTTTCCAGCGTTTTAATAACTTAATAAAATATAAAACTAATTAGGAGAAAAGCGTAACATATATTTGATGATAGATAGTTTTTCAAGTCCGAATATAATCATATTGAATGTCTTGGAAACAAAAAAAGAACAGACATAATTTTATTAAGATGTTCAAGATTTATACTGATTTTAAGGCGTAAACATGCCTAGAAAAAGGAATATGGCAGTAATTTTGTCAATATTGAAGCCCTTTTAGAAACGGCCTTATTTTAGTTAGTTTAGACGATTCGAAAATGTTTTAGTGAGATGTCAAATTTTATTATTATATAAAATATAAATGGAAAATTCACCATAGAATTAGTCCTGTATTAAAAACCTTCATTTAATGGTATACAATTTTAGATATAAAGACTAATTATATATTTATATATAAAAGAAAGTTGTATTATTTACTTGAATTGCTGTAACTTGATTTGGATTAAAATTGGTACAGAGACAGCTTAGAACCAGGAGAAGGACGTAGAATTCTTTTCATTCCACTGAAGAAAGAAAAAAGGTGATAAAATCCGAAATCTTTTTATTTACTGCCATAAGGAGGAGCAGAGTTCGCCCGATAGGCTATGCATTTCTAATTCTGAAACTAAAGGAGACGAAGTCGCGGGCAAAAAGTAGCTCTGAATAAATAACATATTGAGAATGGTTACCAGATGAAGTTACATTATTTATCTGGTAAGATAGGTATACACATTTGTTTTGCGTAACTTTAATAAAGTACATATTACCGATTGTTGCTGTGAATCTGATTATTTCTGAAATAAAATGCTAACTACCTTATCGTCTAAGAATACTTATTTCTACCACCACGTGAAAACCTTAATTACACCCGTGCAACAGTTTTGAAAGCTAACTATATTTAAATAAAGATTTTGTGTCTCTCAAATCTTTGAAATATTGTTTTTTCGTTTCCAGGTAGTGTTGGTGTTCATTCTGAGTATAGCATCGCTCATCATCTACTTCATCGACGCGTCCAGGTAAAAAACGCTCTTATATCTATGATAGTTTTGCAATTGTAGCTTAAAATATTAATTAAAACGTATCTTATAATGCTGAATTCATAAGGAATACGTGAGTCCTCCAATCAATGTGACAAATTTGCTGATTATAGTATATGTTAGCTTTTGTTATGGGCTCGTTTTGATATTAGTCAAGATAGCTATAAGTGGCATAAGGCTAATTTCATAGACCTGTATCACACTGACACTAATTCCATCACATACTATACATAATGTAGATTCACCAACACAGCTGCCCATATAAACCGCTTTACACATACGAGTGTGTTACAGCTCTTACATTTATCTTGACTTGTATCACACGCCCGTCTACAGCTGATGTCTGTATTAAAAGCTTACGTATAATCGTTGTGTATATATTTATTTATATATTTTCAAGTGCTAACTGATGTTATTTTCTTCTAGTGAGGAGGTTGAGCGATGCCAGAAATGGAGTGACAATATTACTCAGCAAATCGACCTTGCCTTTAACATATTTTTTATGGTCTACTTTTTTATACGAGTGAGTCTACATATATGTATAATGTTTTTATGAGGTTTATATGTAAATTTTATAGTTTTCCAATTAGTAGAAAACATCAAAAGACTTCTTCAGCGCTTCTTCCAATGAAAAATAGATTTAGAGCTTATTCATATGCAAAAGAAATTGATGAATTTGTGTATTTCATAATTTACACCAAAACTGGAAGTTTTCTCAATAATTTCTTTCACTTATATACTAAAATTATGTAGGTAAAATAACAATAAAATTACTTTTAACATATGAACGATTATTTGTTATTCTAAAATAATATAGTCTAATTATAATAATTTCTTTTCAGTTTATAGCAGCTAGTGACAAACTATGGTTCATGCTCGAGATGTATTCATTTGTTGATTATTTCACGATACCCCCATCCTTTGTATCGATATACCTGGATAGAACGTGGATAGGTAAGTCTTACAAACCTGTTTACGAATAGTTTCTATGATTTATAAAGAAATATAAGAAATAGTTTACACATTTCTAAGTACAAACTACTTTTTAAAAGGAAATAATCTCTTTAATATTCTAGTCATGCTAGACTTTCACTAATGGAATGAAATGCTTTCTTATCTTGAGCTATCTCAGTTTTTGTGTTTTTTTTCCAGGGCTAAGGTTTCTCCGAGCTCTACGCTTAATGACCGTGCCTGATATTTTGCAGTACCTCAATATATTAAAGACATCGAGCTCAATTCGTTTGGCGCAATTAGTTTCTATATTTATATCGGTATGGCTTACAGCAGCCGGAATTATTCATTTAGTAAGTTCGATCATTATTACATTCCTACTTCCTTGTTACTTTAATATGACAATTGAACTTTTTTATTTTATTAATGAATATTACTTGTCTGAGTAAAAAAAACAAACAGTATTAACCTTTTGCGTAATCCTAAATTCTTGGTAATTGCTGTTATTAAAAAGTAAATAATTAAAACTATTCCTTTTATTACATAGGAAACAAAGTATTTTAATTCATTTTTATTATTTTAGTTGGAAAATTCTGGAGATCCAATGGACTTTGATAATGCGCAATCATTATCATATTGGACATGCGTATATTTTCTTATAGTGACCATGTCCACCGTAGGTTATGGTGATGTGTTCTGTCATACAGTGCTGGGCAGAACATTTTTGGTTTTTTTTCTGCTCGTCGGCTTGGTAAGTAACACTCCATCGCTCTTATATAACAGATATAATAAATGAAAAATACCCACAATAATATATTTAAGTTAATGAATTCGTAAGGGGAGGCAAGCTTAAATTATCCCAGATTATTTAAAATGTTATATGGATGTACAAAAATTCAAAAGTTCAATTATAATTCTTGAAATTCGTGTCGTCTTGCCGAACCTTACCCTAGGCCGAATTGAATAACAAAGCAAAAGGAAATTTAACGATTCTTCGTACTGTAATATTACTGTAATAGCTCACATGGGACTTGGTAGAGATCTATACTTACCGGTTAACGCACAGCTCGTTGAATGACCGTAAGCCTGTTTAGAGCACACACTAGCGCATGCCAAGGTACGGCCGGAGACGACGTCCGGCCGACTTCAATCAAATCGGATCAATGTGCTACCTTCTAACTTCCCGCTTTCAAAGAACGTCTATACGAGACGAGCTTCACTTCGATCAATGACTTTAATTGCATGATTGTTTTCTTTTACTTTTGCTTTGTTACGTGATAACCACCAACGTGCCGCCAGAGGATCTCTCGTACTCGGAGATGTGTATTGGGGAGCGTGGTAGAGAGCCTCTGTAGGGGCCGCCGCGTACCCTCCGGCTCCGCCGTCCCTCCCTCCCACCTCGCGATCTCTGCATGCGCACCTGTGCCTGGCTGTGTTCAGTTGCTCACATCACCGGTAGACACACATTCGTTAATTTTATTTTATTTTCGCTCCGCTATCGGCTACACTCTACTATACGTCACCATAGTTTTACCGATACTCGAGGTGGACATTGTCGTGCACCACACGATGGTATCCGCGTGCCGACTCGATATTCGATCGACACCATGGTCTGTTGCAGGCAATGTTCGCTAGTAGCATTCCTGAAATTATAGAGCTGGTAGGAAGTAGGTCCAAGTACAGTGGCGAGCTGAAGCGTGAACATGGAAAAAGGTATCAATTTGATGTATAAATTGAATCGAGAGTGAAAGCGACTCAATCCGCGCCACGTCTTATTCGGTAACCGTTTTCCGTATCGGCCGTGTCCGGTCTGAATCGCTCGAACTCTCCGAGACGATGTGAAGTCATCACCTCTACAAAAGCTTGCTCAGTGCCGTCAGATGTATTGTGTTATCTACTCGCGCACACCCGTCGGTCCCGGAGATGGTCGCGGGCAGACTTACGCTTTGACATCACTCACGAACTGCTTAGTCGCACTGGTCTGTGAAGTCAGGGCGAAGAACGCTCGGCAACCGTCTGCGACGGCTAACTCGTTTGCGCGCACTACCATGCGTCTATCTCGAATGCCCATCGTCTTAGTTTAGTCACCGGCGATACCGATTTCTTTTAAGTTCTGTTCATCGATTAGTTAGCGTAATTATCCAGGCATTGCATGCACCCGGTCACGTGTCCTGTCACGGCTTGTCGTCACGTAGCTCCCGCTAGCGTAGCTCGGCACGGCACCCAAGTCCCGCACCCGTCCACACCACGCCACAGCCACACGCAGACAGACGACACTCAAGCCACACAGCCTTGTGCGAGCGCGAGGGTTCACGGCCGGGGGGGCGGGCGCGCGGGGGGGCGGTCGCTCACCTCACGGTGTTTGCTGTGTATCGTAGGCTGTGTTCGCCAGCTGGATCCCCGAGATCACGGAGCTGGCGGCGCAGCGGAACAAATACGGCGGCCGGTACAACAAGGACGTCCGCCGCAGGTACCCTGCTCTCACGCCCCCGCTCCACAGGCTTCCTCTCACGGTTTCGATCTGACTTGGTTGATTGAATGCGGAGTTTGCTAATAAAATTTATTAATCCTTCACTAGAATCGGTCTCTCGGTGCCGTGGCGCATGCTCGAAGAGTTAGCTCCCGGCGGCCGCGCCCCTCTCCCCGTACACGAGAGACAGGCGCGCGGTCGACCGACGCACTACTACATGCCTTTTTTCGTAAAATACACTCGAGACACCATTGAGCTTTTTAATCCTTCTAACGAGACTAGATCTGGAGAGAGCCGATGTAAAGTTTTGTAATGCTGTCGATGAAGTAGTGTTTGGTTTGTTCGCTTGCACACGATGCCTGTCGCCACGCTGTAGCGCTAGCTCCGGCACCTCGCCACGAGTCCCGAGATCACACACAGCCAGTGCCCGCGCCCGCGCGCCCGCCCCGTGCCCCGCGCCCCGCGAGCCCTTGGAGTGCTCCGCGCAGCACCGGGGCCGGCGCCGGCGAGCCGCCCGCACGCACGCGCCGGCGGCTCGCTGGGGCCACATCATCACCACTTGACTTGAATGTGAATGTCTTGTTTTGTCTGTCGGCGTTTAGGCGATATTTGCCAGTTGTATCCCAGAGATAATTGACTTAATCGGCACTAGACCCAAGTATGGCGGCACCCTCAAGAATGAGCGGGGACGCAGGTGAGCCGCTGTCTTCACTCCGATCCGTTGAATGTGTTCCGTGTTGTAAATCTATATCTTCCTTTTCCTCTCTTAGCACGCTTCTGTGTTCTCACTTTATCTTTGGTGGGACGTGAGTCCCGCGAGTTGTCTTTGTTTGAGTCGATATTGATTGTATATTATTATCTATGAATTGGTATTTATTCAGTTGAATAGAAACCAGCAGATAGTGGCTAGTTTAATCGCTCGTCATATTAGGTATCATTATTATTTTCTGTTAGTGTACCGTACGTACTTAATGAGGAATGTTAATGGTAATCTAAGCTTAGTAACGGCGAGATAAATGTTGAGTGGTACTGTAGTGTGTTGTTGGAGATGTCGTGTACCGTGTACCAGCCAAGAGCTCCTCGTTGCCGCGGCTGCGGGGGGCTGTTGGTGCGACCCGATGCCTTGCGCCCCAGTGAGTGTTATTCGCTCGCTTCCTTCTCTACTCCCTGCCTGCACGTCTCATGTATATGTATTGTACGAGTAATGTTGACACTCTTTTAATATTTTGTAATATGTAATGTACCTTTATATCGACCCCTCGGTTATTTAGTGCAATGTATACGTAAAGATTCATAGAGCGTGGCAAGGCTGTGTGCATTGAGGACATTTTAACGCCTAATTAGTTTAGTTCTTGACATATCATTTGTCATTGTTGACATCATCTTAGCGAAAGACTTACACAAATCATTCATATAAACAAATTATATAATTTTTAAATTGTTTGCATATTATGCAGCCACAAAAGAGTAGTTGTTAATTTTACGATCAAAATGAATTCAGTTCTTTGCCACACCTTAGATGAATACTTAGTGTGCATGTTCGATGTATTCAGTTTTTGCGTCTATCTTTTAATTTTTCTCTTAATTTCCTTAAACGTTTGTGAAAACTGTAATGGTTGCTCTTCTCGTTTGTGCGTATTGTACATATTAAAATCACCAACCTCCCGCATTGCCTCAACATTTTACAATTAATCTACACCCACACCTTTGACTGTCATGCCGTGCCTAACTTCTTTCGATTGAGTTATAATGAATCCTATTTGAATATACAGTGTAATGTAAGAGAAACAGAATAATAATGTGGTAAAAAGTACAAAACAGCAAGCTTTAAATTTCGTCGTGACTTGCGTTTAAAAAGACCACTTTATCTAAAGACAAAGGAGATCACGGTGAAACATCATATTATACTATAATTTTATATTCTTCATTGTCTTGAGATAAACAAAGACCCCTTAGGACATTCACCTTGAAGTCACTTTTGAACTGACTCTAATCCTGAAAAACCTTTAAAACAATTCATTAATACATATTACTATGATCTTTTTTTGTTGTCTGTTATTTCATGAATGATATGTAATTGTAAACTTCATGGGTCCTAATATATTTCTTTTTTATCCCGTAACGTTCGATTTTTTATCGCCTTGTTGAGTTTGTGTTTAGTGCAGTAGATAGCAACAAAATCCTGAACGAAACTGAGATTGATTATTTCTTTGTAACAATATTTAAGAATGTCTCTATTTACAATAATGTATTTAAACTGAGCAACACGAGACTAGAATTGTTGCAAATAAATGAACAAAGCGGATTGTAAATTATGGAGGTTTTCAGCAATGTCATCATTTAATTTAATTTTAGCTTAACCATGACAGGCGCGTAATATTTTTGTTTTTATTAGTTCTGCTCTCACAAATACATGTCAAAATGAAGACATTGCTTTAGTTTTTGTGGTAGCTGTATCACGCTTTTGTCATCTATTGTTTTATTTAACTCTGTTGTGACCTTTAATTGATTTGAAATTGCGTTTAAATCTTATATCGCGCCAATATTTCAAAGGTACCAGATGTTAAATAAAACCTCCCAATTGCTGTGCTCTTTCTTCCTATCTTTGCTGATCTATAGCTTTTGTCAAACTTGCTTTTATAATGAATATGAAAAAGCAAGTCATTAGCACTTTCAAATCATGCTCTGTTAATTTTTTGCTATAATTTTAAATTAGTACTGAGAAAAAACTTTTAAAGGCTAAGTTGGACTTGCTTTAACAGCTTCTTTCGTTATTTTCATTAAGTATTTCCTTCATAGTAGTTCTAATTAAGCGCCTATTGAAATATATACTATAACATATTTGTACGATTTCAGGCATATAGTCGTATGTGGACATATAACATATGAATCAGTCAGTCATTTCTTAAAAGACTTTCTACACGAAGACCGAGAGGATGTGGATGTTGAGGTTGTTTTTTTACACAGGTAATATAATTATTTCTGTAATTAATTAAACTTAATATTAAGGTAGGCTTAATTAAGAAAACTACATTGATGACCAAGCTGTTATAGACAAAGCAAACGTCTGTCATAAACTGAAAATTTTATTGAGCGGTTTTAAAAACAGTTATTGGGTGGTGAATCATGTATTATCGAACGACGCTTTCAGAAAGGAGCCTGACCTAGAGCTGGAAGGCCTCCTGAAACGTCACTACACTACGGTCGAGTTTTTTCAGGGTACAATGATGAATGCCGTCGACCTTGAGCGAGTCAAGGTTAGAGTAAGACCGAATAGTGCAGGCAATTAGATATCGCACGGCCCTACTTATTAATCATTGATAACCGTGTCAAGTGAACCAGTTTTTTTATCATTTATGTGCATAAAACGGTATTTTTTATTCTATCAAGATGCTGTTTCATAGTCACAGTAGGTTTTCTCACTTTGGTAATTTATCGTATGGTTCTTTTAATGCAATCATGGCTTTCACGGTGGGACTGGGGTACCTCGTCGGCCAGTAGGGGGAGCTCCCGTCCCATTCCACTACTGCGTATTTTGGTACTACGTAGAGTTGCATGGTAACGTCGGCCCGCAACAGGCGGCGGACTGGCCTAAATCTGGTCCGTAGTTAACTGAGCGTTGATGGCAGGAAACCGCCCGACCTGGAGCTCGAAGGCCTGTTCAAGAGACACTTTACCACTGTGGAATTCTTTCAAGGCACCATTATGAATCCAATCGACCTACAAAGGGTAAAAGTAAGTAGCACTGCACAATCGAATCGAATGTGATCTTTTGGGCGTGGTGTCGGTTTGAAGCTGTGCAGACTGTCTTTTCTATAGACGTAGAGCGATGCTCGTTCGATAACTATGAGAAGCCATTCTATTGTTGGAGTGATGTACAGTTCCCTTCTAATGACATGACTTGGAGGCTGTTTGTGTGCCTAACGCTAATGTTGTTACAATGTGTGTGGTTGTCCCGCACGTAAGTCCAAGCCCGGCGAGCGACCGCCGCGGCACCGCTCGACTTTCTGTCTGTTTGTACCTAAACTGGTTGTTGTGTGCGAGTTTGGCCACTAAATGTACTCTAAACAATCGATATGACCTTGTACTATATATAAAAAAAAAACAGTGCTATCTAAAGAAATTGGCTTTAATGGTTGCCGCTGAAAGAGTTTCCTTATCAAAATTGGCTTTTTTGTAGTTTAAAGTACATAACATGTCGAATAACAATATTGTCGACTGTTTACGGTAAGTCTTAGATGCTTGGCTTTCTTGACAGATTAACACTGCATGCCCCCTTCATCAAACGATTGCATGATCCTCCATAAGCTTTTCCTTTTAGTTTGTGCAGCGCCTAAAAATTTTATGTGATCTATTGTGAAGAAAATAATTGTACTATGTTATATGTATTCCTATCACTAACTTTTTTTTAATCACTATTCTTATCTACAGTGAGTAATACTACATTTTGTATAATATTTTTGCTTAGTAAGAGTATTTATGATGACTTATTTTATTACAAAATTTTATTAATAAATAATTCGCTATCAATATATTGTGTGATATTTATTAAAAAGAGAAATTATAAAGTCGCTTCATATATTATTATTAAAGAAAAAGCATCGAATAATTTATTAATTACGATCTACGATATCAAATAGGTGCATGAAGCTGATGCGTGTTTGGTGCTCGCCAATAAGTACTGTCAGGACCCGGATGCCGAAGACGCCGCGAACATCATGAGAGTCATATCCATCAAGAACTACTCAGACGACATCAGAGTTATAATTCAGTTAATGCAATACCATAATAAGGTAATTGATCTAGACTCTAAGATTAATTGATCTAAAAGAGTTTAATAATTTTTTTGTCGTCATTCCTAACTTAATTTATAAATAACTAGTAAACCCGGCGAGCTCCGTTTCGCCACCAGAAGGCTTTTATATAACATTTCGTTTGGTGATTAAAAGATGAATAATTTTGTTTTGTTTTATATTTGAAAAGGAAAATTTTTATTTCATTCCATAACAGTAATGAATTCATTTCGATTACAAAAATGAAGTGTTATTTAGTTGAACTTCTCTAAGTAAATGAAAGTGAATCCAAAGTAGATACCGAATCGAAGCGTCATACGTGTCCGCAAATTATTAGCCGTTTCATTGAAGTGCTCCTTTGTAAACCACATTTTTTGTTTTTTGGTCTAACTTTAACACAAATAAAGCGGATGGTTTCCAAACTCGTGAACACGCAAAATATAACTGCCCATGTGAAAAACAATGATTTTCTAAATTTATTTCACAAATACTAAATGGTTTTAAGAGTTCAAACTACAAACACAATACCAGTTTGTCACATGAAATTAACTGAGCAGAGAACAATGAGTAGCTGTCAAAAAATGTATCATGCATCGGCACCATCTACTTAAAATTTTGTGTTGTAGTATATGTTATTATGAACTTTTCTGTTGAAATTTTTTGTTATAAACCTCACGGAACCCGAGACCTTTCCAACGAATGCAAAACCGTGTGAAAATTGGTTTGTTCGTTCTGAAGTTATAGCGTTCAGGAAGGAAAACTTGACTTATTTTTATATAGTAGATCTCTTACAAATATCTAATTGTCATAATTACGTCATTACATATCTGTCATTATACGTCAGTTTCATAGAGCTGTCAATTGTGTTTCGTTATTCCACGTTTTATAGTGATTGACGTTTCATGTCAAGTCCCACGGGAATGCTGTCGAATGGGATAAAAAGTCTCTTATGCAATTTCCTGGCTCTAAACTACCTCCCTGCCAATCTTCAGCTAAATCGGTTCAGCCGTTCTTGAGCTATAAGTGGAGTAACTAACACGACTTTCTTTTATATATATAGATTTAGCTTATACAGAAACAAATAAATCTTATTTATTCTATAATTTGCTTATTCCAGGCCTATCTTCTCAACATTCCTTCGTGGGACTGGAAGCAAGGAGACGACGTAATTTGCTTAGCAGAATTGAAATTGGGGTTTATCGCTCAGAGCTGTCTCGCACCGGGATTCTCTACCATGATGGCCAATCTATTCGCTATGAGAAGTTTCAAAACGGTTAGCCACATAGTCATTTTTATTTATTTGAAGATTTACACAAAGCATCCGAAGGTTTCAATCCTATATAGCACTTCGGATGTCTTATTTAATGATTCCTATGCGGAATTTTCGCAGTCTCGAAAGAAGGCTAAATGGAGTAATGACTACAAACGAGGTACAGGAATGGAGATGTACACCGACACTCTGAGCCCATCCTTTATTGGGATGCTGTTCAGACAAGCGGCGGAGTAAGTCCAGAAAAGCTTGAAATAAATTGAACTTCTCTGTGGTTCAATTACAACCAGTGGAAAGTCGCTAACATTGTCAAGCTTTCGCTTAAGGTTCCAAGTCCAATAGATAGCACTATAACTCTAGATCCCGATAGATATTACTGATATGGTTCGAAACCCAATCGTACTATAACATTGTCACTGGCTGCAGAAACCTTAGGTTAGTGGGCGAGTCTCATTGGGCTGTGACTAACTCAGCACGGGCTTGCTATGGTTATTTGCAGTCACCGGACACCCAGGCCTGGCAGAACGACTACCTGCAGGGTACCGGATGCGAGATGTACACCGAGTCTCTGTCCACTTCCTTCACTGGAATGAGTTTTCCTCAAGCCAGCGAGTAAGACATCCTACCTGCTTCTAGCTTACTAACCTCAATGCAGTTCACATTTACGATTTAGAACATGTATATAGACTTTATGGATGTGGTATACAATAAAAAAAAGTTTTTCATTTCGTCTCAAATCATTATATTTAATTTCAAGAAGTAACCAAATTATTAGTTTATGGTGTTCCAAAAAAATAATATTTTGGATTTAATGTACCCTATAGTAATATATTATCTGATAAAGTATGCTGAGCAAAGTGATAAATTGATCTTAAACAAAAATCTTTAATAAATGCATGCAACAGGTTGTGTTTCACAAAATTAAAACTTCTTCTACTGGCGATTGAGATCAAAGGAGAAGAAGGTGCTGATAGTAAGATCTCTATTAACCCCCGGAATGCGAAGATACACGCGAATACACAAGGATTTTTTATAGCTCAGTCTGCGGATGAGGTTAAAAGGTACATAAACAAATAAATTCCTATGTTTTTAATTATTTATTACAACCACCGTTTTGAATTCATAAGTAACTCATTAGAGATAACGTTTATGGTATAGTCGTTTTAGGAAGGATAATAAATTTGGAATAAAAAGAGGAGAAACAAAAACATTAAAAATTTTAACTCCTTGTAATCTATCATTTTAATTATGAATTAATAGGTAAAGTCACTTATATTGTTTTCAATTTTTGTTGATAGTTAATGTGTAAAAATCATGTTAAATGCATTTCAGGGCTTGGTTTTACTGCAAAGCGTGCCACGAGGACATCAAAGATGAAACACTCATCAAGAAATGCAAATGCAAAAATTGTAAGATACTTCTTATTATGTAAAAAAATAATAATAATATTTTTTGAGAATTTGTCAACAGATATATATAGTTCCCCTAAAATGATTTAATATTTAATTAAGAGGATTAACATTCTGTGACATTCTTTCTGGAATCCTGTGAAATCACTTACTCTGTTTCTAATGACCACAATAGACACTGTTCTTGAGTATCTAAATGTGACACTTTTGTAAGAGCATTTAACACGTTTATTTTATCTGTGACACATTAATGGAATATTCGGCTAAAATTCTAGTGACCGCACACCAGCGGAAGGTCGGAGCCGATATAGGTAACTTGCACCACACATAAGCATACAGATTTGACGTTTTTAAATTTATTTTACTGTCTATATAATTTTGAGTTGCTTTAGTGGTGTCCGTACCTCACAGACTGGATCGGCAAAGCATTCTTGATCCGTGCTCGTTCATGCCCTTTAATTAGCGATCATTGTGTTTGTCTGCTCGTGAATGGATCCCGATACGAAGCACTTTGATACTCATTCTCTTTTATCTTGATACTTCTCGCTCCGTTTCGACATGCGACAATCCAGTGCATCATACAATATTATACAGGCACCATGCAACGTGGGATTTGTGATGTAGAGACACCCTTTGACAACAATTTTCTGGAGCACTTATTAGTTTATTGAAGCATAGATATAAATTGATATGATGCACTCTGGCCCCACATGAAGTTTGCATGTAAATTAAGTAGTATTCTGGCAAAAGCAACTTGCACCTCATTTGTTCCCGAACACATAGTTATTACACCACGTCTTATGCAAATCCATGAAAGCATGTCTCAGAAAAAATCAGAGTGAAACCAGAACGCTAAAACTTATCTCATGAGGAGTGGGCTTTGAAACGAAATAAAGGCTTCATAGGACAGTTCCGGCTTGTCTGTGCTAATTACAGTGACTAACGCACGGTCCAGAGATACGGTCGCTACTCATATCATCAGCGCATTACAAGATTCAAAATTATAAATGTCCTATCGAATATTAATATTACTGAAAATTGTTTTTAACTGGACCTTTTATAAATTTGACTCTTAGTTCAGGCATCAAAAATTCAGATCAGTCAAACAGGAAGCGTGCCTACGTATGTGTCAGTGTTTGGATTTTTACAGATGTCGGAATGATGATGATGCAGACGGGGATGGTGAAACAAAATCTAAATACGTATCGGGGTGTCGACGGTACGGAGTAAATTGAACTGTCCCAATACCGTACCTCACAATAATAGTTTTCTTGCATTAACTAACAGACGCTCCAAATTGATCCTAAAATTGGGCTACCGTATGCTAATTACACCAATGATCTGTACACGCAATAGACAACAGCAAAGCTACTACACAAACCCTAACCTTGATATTGCTTGACAGTGAGGACAATACTGCTGTATCTACGGTCACTATTACATGCTTTTGGATGCCAATAACCATGATATATAACAATTTTTATAAAGCCAATTTGTCCTATCAATATGTATTGGACATTGGTTACCAAAAGCTGCTGTACACATAGCCAATTAATATGACAAAATTTTAAAAAAAAGCTTTGCATCTCTGTCTGCATATATATCCTTTATTTGCCTCTCTCTCTCCCGTCCATGTCCGTATATACCGACATTAAGATAATAGAGTTATATAAATTTGTTTTTCGGTTCAGTGGCTACATTCAGGAAAGGCGTACGAGCCGTCCAGATGGTTGGAAGGGCAAGTACGTACTGTTGTGACTTGTAACGTCTCTCAATGTTATGTCAATGTCCGTTGCGGTGTCGGTGCGTCTCGTTAGAAGTCGTGTCTATTATTGTCTTGTATACGTTATCTATGTGCATTACAGTTATAGATGTTCGCCTCTCTATTAGATATATAGAGAGACATTATGTGATGTCGTTTTATTTATTTTTTTGTCTTGTTGTTATTCTTAATATTTTTATCGTTCAATACAATTATTAGGAGTAAATTTGATACCTAATTCATGCATCGATATATAGTCCCTATGAAATGGATGTTGTATAAATAGTTTACAAATACGTGCTTATAATTATTATAAAAGATATTTTCTTATTGTTATTATTAAATATAGGGAACGTTTATTTAAAAATTAGATGGCCCCGCCTCGATAGAAATGTAAGGACCTTGCAGTGGTTTATCAATGCATCAAATTCCGTCGAAAATATGGTATAAGCTATGATATTTATAAGATTCAGAAATACATTAGAAATCAAGCCTGGAATAACTTTAGTTCTAGAAAGCTCGGTGCCATCTCCTGAAAATCATCATTTTAAACATCATTTCATCCCACTTACATAGCCATAAGCCATTAATGCATTATTAAAAATTTACTAATGAGTAAAGTAATAGTAGAATAGATATAACTTTAATATTTTTCACATTTCGTAGTGTGACATTTTGTATAGTGTTTAGTATTGGTAGTTTTATATTGCATGTGTATGTTTATATAATATTATTGTATATATATAGCTTTACCGTCTTTTGTGATTATCATTTATCAGTTCCGCCTTAAAAGACATTCCGACGGAACAGGTAAAGTTGAAGGTGGAACTGATAGTATTTTTGTAATCGTAAAGTTAAAGGTGAAAGAATACTTGTAAAAAATTGCTTTGTGTAGGTTGTTTTATCTATGAGTGGTGTATCGGAATGCGAATTGTGCTGATGTTTTGCAGATGACCACCATCCTCCCCCCACCTTCACGCCGCCAGAGTTGCCCAAGAAGGTCCATGTTCGAGGTACATCTCAGACTAAAAGGACTGAGTGTTTTTTTTTTTTATTTTTATTTCCTCATCGGCCCCCATCTTACAGCCAGATACGCTTACCTATAGGTTAAAGATACGCACTTAGATGCTTCACCATGCCTTTCATAGAGAGCACTAAGGTTGGCAATTCGAAGCCATTCGGAAGGTCTTTACTCTTGCTTTCATTAAGCATGACCCTATAGAGTTATTATACAGGCGCGAAAAGTTCCCATAGACAACATGTCGATTATTTGAACGATAGAATTACACTCCAATTGCAATGTATTTGTTCTGCATCACACTTGTTCACAATGCAAACAAACTAATTATAATAAAATTACCATTGATATGCTTCTTGGTAAACTCTTAAGCGGTTGTTTCATCACTTCTGGTTTGTATCCTGAAGCCGGCCTTGCGACCTCTCATCACATTGCATATATCCGTTTCAATTGGATGATCTGTTATAAAGCTTTTGTGGTAGTGTTTACAGAATTTATTACAATATGTTGTATCTTTAAAGTTCTATGTACTATTTTGTATATGATATTAACTATAATTTTTTCAATGATTTATATGAAAATCTTTATAAATTATTGGAGATACTTATTTAATTTTAAAATTGTTATTTTAAGGTGAAATCGCAAGAGAAAGAGGAGAGGATATCAGTTGTAAGTTTCAAAAAGACTCATCATGAAATTATACAGCGTGTTTAAATAAAATTTTACTAATAATAATATTTTTTAGTAATAAATCGTAATCACCGAAGTGCCGCGCCAACAGCGCTTTTGTCTCCGATGGCTAATCAGCTGATGAACACCACAACAACGAGGCAAGTCAACAAGGTCAAACCAAACGTGAATAGAGCTCCACCCGACACGTAAGTCCTTTAAAGGTTGTATGTATAATAATAATTAACATAAAACTATTTCTTTATAGCAAATATAACGCTGATTCTGACAAAATTATATTGTAATTTTGTTATGGTGTCCTTTCCATACAAAAAAAATGTGCGTTTTAAACTAAGACTTTTTATGTTTAGAAGGAATAACGCACTGAAATAAGTTTTAGAAAATTTAATAGTTACCAAAAAACGTTCATAATTTAAATGCAATGGGCAAATTTTGAAGACTTACTTTTATGTTTTCAGGTAACTTTGTTTGTTTGTTAATCTCAACGGTAAATTAGTTTTCAGATTTGTACAGGATTGTTGATATCAAGTGGTATAGGTACATAGAGGGAATTCAATCTACATATCATGTGTTTTTTATGACTCCATACAAATTCATAGGTTAGAGCATAAATAGGAGAAAATAAAAAATATAAATAAAAACTTATATAAAAAAAATAACATGAACTAACCAAAAACCCTTGTAAATTAAGTTTATTTATGTCAAATAAATTGCTGCTTTTTACAAGCATTCGATGTCTGCTGTTATTTAGCACGTTGTGCACATTGTATGCACGGCACTACGTTGTCTATGTCTATCTCTGTCTACTTAATCATTTGTCCATACTGTGTTTGCACTTTTACTCCTTAAAACATCGGAGACGAAATTTTGGCCCTGTTTGCAGGAATACGCAAGAACAAGATACGAATTACCAAGCCTATCATCTAGCCTACGAAGTGAAAAAACTCATGTAATTTTATAAAATTATATACCACCTAGATATTTTCTTATGTAGTTTTGAGATACCTTTCATGAATATCATTTCCGATGAATGATGCATTACGTAGTTTTTTTATTTGTTTTAGAATGTTATTGTTATAATTTATTAGAGTAACAGTTTTTACGGATATTTCACAACACAGAATTGCAAAGTAGATAATTAATAGTTCGCCTTGTTTGTAGGTATTTAGTTAGAGAATTTCGCCTATATGCACTTTGTGATTGTATATGCACGTAGCTATATAATGGAGTCTTAATATGCAATTATTCTATAATTTGCTTTGTACTGTTGAGTTTCTGATTATTCCGAACTACCTTTTATTTCAATATATAATTCTTCAAGAAAATCATTGTCCTAACCCTATTAATAAATTAATTCAATAACAAAATTAAGAATATTATTCAAAGTTTACGATTTTCTTGGACAATTCTAATAAATATTTCTTTTAAACTTTTTATGCTTTATGAAAAAAAACTTAATCGCTCCACTAAAAATCAGTCACCGATCTACAATTTAACAAGCAGCATTAAAAATGCACACCAATAAATTTCTATTATTAAAAAAATATTATATAAATACCGCACGCGATGGGACTGTGTCATTAAAATTACACGTCAATATACATATGTTTTCAATTTAGGCCTACAAGTAGAAGTAGTGGGGGAAATCAAAACAGCAATGGCGTGAGCTTACCAGCTGGCTTAGCTGACGATCAGTCAAAAGATTTCGACTTCGAAAAGACTGAAATGAAATATGATTCAACCGGAATGTTCCACTGGAGCCCCGCCAGAAACCTCGAAGATTGCATATTGGTAAATATCTTTGCATTAAATGATACAGATCTCTCTTAATCAGTATTTTATTAAGAAGAATTGTAGAATATATGTTATTTGTTACGATTCATAACAGTTTTATATTTACATTATCCAACAGGACAGAAACCAGGCGGCTATGACCGTATTAAATGGTCACGTGGTAGTGTGTTTGTTCGCGGATCCAGATTCGCCTCTCATTGGATTAAGGAATCTGGTGATGCCGCTACGAGCATCTAACTTCCATTACCACGAACTCAAGCACGTCGTTATTGTTGGAAGTGTTGAATACATCAGAAGAGAATGGAAAATGTTGCAGAATTTACCTAAGATCTCCGTATTGAATGTAAGTAGATGGAAAGAAGGATATACCAGAAACCTAGAAAATATAACTATTTTGAATAATTTCCAGGGTTCACCGCTAAGCCGGGCCGACTTGCGTGCAGTTAATGTAAATCTGTGCGACATGTGCTGCATACTATCAGCGAAGGTGCCATCGAACGATGACCCGACGCTGGCAGACAAGGAAGCTATTCTGGCTTCGTTGAACATCAAGGCTATGACGTTCGACGACACGATAGGAGTGCTAAGTGCAGGGGCGACTAATGGTAACGCCCCACCACCAACTGGCGCGCCTCCGGCACCAGTGCTATTACAACGAAGAGGATCTGTGTATGGAGCCAATGTGCCTATGATCACTGGTAAGTTACTCATAATGGTTGTTGCTATAACTCATTTAAAACTCGCAAATTATACTCTTTATTTTACCACAAATTATTGAAAAATTAACATATAATAGGCAGCTGAAAGGTATAATGTTGATAACATAATTCGATGACACTTTTAGTTAATAAGAATACTTAATGTTTAAAATGTACTTATAAGTTAAATGACCTTTTATAGAGCTGGTGAACGACAGCAATGTGCAGTTCTTGGACCAAGACGACGACGACGATCCCGACACCGAGTTGTATCTCACTCAGCCATTCGCTTGCGGGACCGCCTTCGCTGTCAGCGTACTCGACTCACTCATGTCAACTGTGAGTAAAAGATTACATGAAAGCACCTATTTGTTTTTGCACGACAGGGTTATAAAATCCTGCGTTATCACCTATATGTATTTATAAAAAAAAAACTTAAAATTCATAAAACAAGCTAAGGAGAGCAAACGAATTGACACTAGCAATCGGTGAATAAATAGAATTCATAAAGTTATTCAGAAAGTTATTGATACAAGAGACGTATATGTCTGTCCTAACACCTGAGTATCGATATGAACAAAATCATGTCAAAAATGGTTTTGTCGTAATTTTTAATCTCGTTTATTCATTATGTTATAGACATACTTCAACCAGAACGCCCTGACGTTGATCCGCTCACTTATCACTGGAGGCGCTACTCCCGAGCTTGAGTTAATATTGGCTGAAGGAGCAGGTTTACGGGGAGGTTACTCTACAACTGAGAGCTTATCTAACAGGTTAGTACAGAGCCTTCGAAACATGGAACCACTTTGAAACCTATTATTTTAGTGCTCGTGAACCTAATACAAAATGCAAAATAGAAATCATTACGCTACTTGTTGAGTGATGAAAGGACGTATAACATTTAGGTCAAATATTCAAGTATTGGTGTCGGTTTGAAACCTATTATTTTAGTACTCGTGAACCTTATACAAAATGCAAAATAGACATCATTACGCTACTTGTTGAGTGATGAAATGACGTATAATAAGGGTCAAATATTCAAGTATTGGTGTCGGTTTGTTTCAATCAGGGATCGTTGCCGCGTTGGTCAGATATCACTGTACGACGGTCCCCTGGCTCAGTTCGGTGAGGCTGGCAAGTACGGCGATCTGTTCGTTGCTGCGTTACGCACGTACGGCATGCTGTGTATCGGCCTGTACCGCTTCAGGGACACCTCTTCTTCTTGCGACGCCAGCAGCAAGAGATACGTGATCACCAATCCCCCGGATGATTTCTGTTTGTTGCCCACGGATCAGGTATGGATGTGTTTTATATAATATTTATTCATACTTTATTGGTGATAAAGTACGTGCTAAAGTTTAATGAATTTATTACTTTTCTGTTTATTTTAAGTGTTTACCTTAAGTTTAACTTAAGTTTTATCATATTATATATCTGCATTTGCAATAGAACAATAGGAACTATATCATGTTGGTAGTTCAACTGAAGATTAAAACCACATATTATCTTTTATGGCCAATATAAGTTCCTACTAAGTGCATTGTATTTCCAGGTGTTTGTGCTGATGCAGTTCGACCCGGGCGTGGAGTACCGCTCCAACCGGCGCGCCGCCGCCGCCACAGACGACGCGTCCTGACTATTGCTGTGCAGCGCCCTCACCGACGGACCCTACTCCTACATCTAGGTGTAGACCGTCCCACGACGACCCCAGAGGGCCGTGACGACCCCGTTCCCCTAAACCTGGGGCCGCGACGACCCCGATACGATCTTTTATTTCCCAATTTTAGTTTACCCCATTTTTTTATGGACACCGCACCGCAATTCTCACTCGCTTACGACACTTAGAGAGTTAGGATCTGAATCTATGCCCGATGTAACCGGAACGCGGGACAACTATCGGCGGATATGTACGGAGTGTAACGATATAGTTAGAGGGCTTTCGATGTCTCAGATATTAGTCGTGAACTTAGTGTACAATATCAGATTATAGGATTTCTTTAAGGTATGACTCGTTACACTCTGTCTGTATCCATCTATAAAGACACTACACACATCACTTCTGATTCGAGGGTAGGCACACGGTATTCTTGACATGAACTATCTCAAAAATTTCAATGTAAAAGACCTTTTAAACTTTTAATTGCACGAATTTTTAAGCTATTACAGGACAACCTAATGATATAAGGTACATTTTTAACTTCTTTTAGATTGTCCATTCCTTATCCAGTAGACATATATAAAAAGGGCTAAGGTTTTTTTCTTATTATGTAGAAATATTTAAGCATTTATAATAATCATTGACTGAAATAATATATCACATCAAGTACTTTCTATATTTAGTTAACTCTTACCTTCACTATTGAATTCACATTGAATTCATCACTAGCTCTAAGGCTTAACTTTCTTCGCTTCCTTGCACGGTATGGTAGTTACATACAGTTCCATTTCACACGTTCATTTTTCATTTTAGTTCTTTACTTTTATTATCTTTATGTTATCCTAGTATAGAAGTAAGTGATAGCAGGAATTGTCAGTTCAATTAAAGACGCACTGATAATTCTGACTCTTACTTGAGATTTAACCACACTTATAGATTTTTTTTGTTTATTTTTTTAATAAATTATTTTAAAATGTTTTGTTTTCTTTTTGGTTTTTTATTTCCCAATAGGGCGGGGGATTGTCAAAGTGGACGTGATTTGTGGCGCTGCACATAAAATATGAAAAGAAACTGATTTAATTCATTTGAAGGAATATTAATTGCAATTGCGAGAAAGTTTAAAATATATACGGAATCAGTGCAAAGTGTAAAATTGCTGTTAATGTGTGATATTATTTTCAAAACTTCATTGTTATATAAATGGCTTTTGAAGCCTGCGATGTATTTAGAATTAACTCCGGGTGCTTTGACGATTGTGGACTCTTCATAGTTTTATTGTATTAGATATTATGGAACGCTAATAAACTGAACAGACGGGTCACTTTGGTGAAGTTTATTATTGTTCCTTCACTAGATTTAGATTATCGCCTCACAGTGATTACACAGTCAAATCAATAGATATCATTTAGTAAGAATTACAATAAATATGTACAAGATGTTTGATGGGGATATAAATAGTTGTACATATATAGAAAGATTAATTATTTATCACGCGTGATGCGCATCATTTTTAGTGTTAACGAATTAAATACCTCAAATAGTAGATTAACCGTCGGAAAATATTAAAATAACTCATGTCTTTTATCAAACATCCTGTATGTGTAAGGGTATTACAGGTTGATGTGGTTGTAAAAAATGTTTTATACAAATTAAAGCCGCAAAACATAAACGTAGTAGATCATACATTAATTTGCAATAAATTTCTTTATTCATAATAATTTATTTATTACCTCTATTTTAAAAATTAACAATTTTTTCATCCACATCATGTGCCTAAATCCTATCTTACAATTAAATGTAAAACTACATACTGACATTGTTTTGTTATTAAAATAATATATCATTTAATTTAATCTATTATTAGAGTACATTTAGAAATGTTTTTTGCAAATTACATTTAAAATTCGTCATTAGATTATAATAGGCTCATTTTAATAGGATAGGCAAAACCGGCCTTATTTATATACTTATAGGTTAAAGTACCCATTTTTATGTGTATGTATGGTGTATTCAAAACGGTCCAAAGAGAAATAATGCAACAAAAAATTCGTTATGGAATTGAGTGCGAACATACTGCCATATTTTTATGTTAAGTCTCGATGAAAGTATTGAAGTAAGAAAGCACGTGTCCTTGACTACAATACTTCAAGCTTGAAGTTTTCGCAAAAGTAACTTGCGATTCATATGGGGAATTTCTGTGTCGATTATTTTTTACCTGGACGCATAATAACACGCGTGCCAAAACTGCCATTTCACGAAATAATTTCATCTTAATATCAAGATTTGTAAATAATTTTATATACACAAACCAACCATACCACTTACTTGTACTTTACATGAGTTTCATTCGTCAAATTAAACAGAGATAGTTTCAGGTTTTTAATTATGTGCTGTTGATAGCATTTATGAAGAAAATACAGAAACTGTTTGTGTTGTTACGATGATGCAACCCCATGTTAAGTGTACCACAATTTTTCGGTACTATCTATTTATTTAACTACCTAAATGAAAAGAAAAAACTACTAAGGAATTTTAGTCTTTTTTTTAATTATAAATGTATATTTCTGCCATTTTCTATTTTTAATAGAACTCATTTCACTCACTTGATTTCATTATATGTAACACACTAATTTTAATTTAAAGTTCTGTTGATTTAAAAATAAAAACCTAGATACCTATGTATGAGGCCAAATCTTATGATCTTGGCAAGGTATAGTTGATAAATTGCAAAATAATTGTAGTTATGTGACTTATAAATTTTATAATATTGTGATGGTTGTGCACGCTAGATATAAATGCTCTGTCCAATCATATTCTTAACTGTGTATTATATAAAACACGAGCCAAACATACATTGTTAACACAGATCTTCTCTAAGATGGTTATATCAAGAATATAAGGTTAGTTTCGGCTAAACTTAGTGCATGCATGCCACTGGGAACCCGTAGACGCCAGAATTATTACAATTAGAACAACATCACTCTCACGATTATACTTAGCATTTCTAGCTCGTTGTATATAATCAAAAGTAATTTTGTATGTTACTTAAGAATTTCTCAAACACCTCCTTGCATTAAAAATAGAAATTACGGCTGCTTTAAAGTTTAAATTCGATATTGTCGAGTGTAGTTTGTTGTGAAGTAGGCTTCTATGTCACTGTATGCTAGTTAGGTTTAGAGTTTGGACGTCTCATTGTAAAAATGTAAAATACACGCTAATAGGTATTTTGAACTAATTATGAATGTTATTTATAAGGGTAATGCTAAAGTGACAATTTTTCCTTTAATATTTTTATACAGCATTACAAAATATATATCGCAATTAAAAGTTTATAGAGGTGGATCGGTGTGCAATTTAAATAGTGTCTAATTGTATAATCGCCTTATTGAGAGAGAATATAGCTGAGTCCTTCTGCGTGTGGTTGCATGGTGTAGGTAATGTACAATGTTATTGTAAAATGCATTATGTACGTTTGTAAAACTTGAGCTGCAAGTAAATTGTGTCCTAAACACTAAGTATGTTATATTGTACTGTCTATACTATATAGTCTATACGATCCGATTTGTCAAATAGCTAACAGAGCAGAGATGTGGCAGATGCGATGAAATGACTTTCCTTTTTTATGTATACTTAATAATAGGTATAACATCATCATTTAAATATTTTATACGAGAAGCAACCAGAATTCTAAATTTAGTATATACTATAGATATATATAATTTGTTATTAAGACCAATTCCGTTAGTTTTTAGTATAAACGATGATATAGCCCAAACTGGAAGTGACCCAAAAAATCGGATCCATCAAAGCAATCTAATGTTTAATATTATTTCATAATTATTTTCTGTTAGAAGGTATATCAATTATCTATTAATTTCTTTTTATTATTTTAAAACTAACGTGTATATCTTATGTGACGTTCTATGGTCTAGGACTAAAATTAGCTCCTTTACTTATTTTATTTTTATGGTATATTAGTTCCTTGTTGAACAGCAACATTTCGAAAATTATCTTGCGTAAATTAAATCTAAATTGTATTACAACTTAAAGGCTAATCGCAACTAGGTACCTAGATCCATGTTCTGTGTGCAATGATATCCTAGAATTAACAACATTGTTGACTATTGCTAATAGCTTGAGGTTGTTAACGTTTTAGAACAGAATAATGAATTTTTTATGTACCTATTATATACGTATTTAAAAATCTTAATGCTCTATTATATTACGAATATACGCTAGACCCTTTTTGTAAGCTGATATGCCATCTTGTCGTGTTGTTATACGCATAGTCCTCTCTTAATTAAAGTAGAATCAATATATAATGATGGCTGTGAGGTAAATAACAATTTAAAATTTATATTACGTATTAAAAGGAAAATATTAAAAAAATAGGTGAGACCGCAACGCCGCGACGGTCAGATGATAAACACGTTTCTGTTGTGTATTGGCACTGACATGCTGGAAATGACAACTAGGCGTTCTCAAAAAAACCTAGACTGCCTATCATTATTATTAATAAACCTAAGATTATATTTAGCCACTTATGAATCTTAGATCTTAAGAAATATTATAAAATGCTTTTTGTATTTTTAACGTCATTAAAATCTACAAATGTCGGTGCCAAAACCAAGTAATTATCTTATTAACTGACAAGTTTTGGCCCACTGCCGCCATTTTGTCGCGGACTGCCTGACTATTGTTTTTTGTTTGGCTGGTTATGATACCAATTACCAACATATCGCAAACTGTGTAACATAACATTGGAAGTTTCCTACTCTATTTCATCTATATAGACTTTGAATGAGTTTCATTGACGAAATATATCATGGCAGCTCTGAAACTTAAGCTCACAGCTTTCTTTGCAGTTGCTCAATTTTCTCACATAAAACTTCATATTTCACCGCTTATAGATAAAGATCTATCGATTTGAAGTCACTACTTGCGGTTGGATACAAAATTGAAACATTTACGGAGGATATTACAAGTTTCCATTTTATATCACTCGAATTTGTTCTGTAAAAAAAAAATCACTCGTCTTTTTCATATTCATATGGCAATTTAAATATTCAATTATCGCTGGGAAACTTGTATTATTCCTTAGACCAATTGCTGACACTTTAAAATCGACACTATTTTAACGAAGCTATGTTCGGTTTTAGAGTAACAGTGTAATTAGTGACCTGATATTATAGACGAATTTGTGTGTTGCCGTTATCACGTAATAATAACGAAAGCCTTGTCATTTGTACGCTAGCAACATTTCCGAGTATAAACTGCCAAAAGATTTAATATAACAGCTCTCACGAATTATGATATAGAGTACTTAAGTATTGGCTTGTAATTAGCTGTAGGAAATGTTGCTGCGTACATTCAAGCTAAATGACTGCACAATGCGGGTAACAATATTACCCTATGTTCGAATGTATCACACCACAAAACAAATTATTTAATATTGTTGATGTTGATTGTTAATAAAATGCAAATAATGTAAATATCAAAATAAATTCTGTATTTGTATTTGATGAAATTTGTTTTATTTTATTTTTTTTTTATATTTAAAATTTAATATTATCCGTTTTAGAATAACATTTATATGAATATTTTATCTTTAATGTTGATGTAGTAACGAGATATTATCAAAAGAACAATGATTGAGTTGAAAAATCCATAAACACAATTTTTGAAAATATACCACAAAATAAATATTTTGTTTATATCTTGAGTTAAAACACATCTTAACAATATCATAGTTCATATATTTGTAAAATTATTTTTACAATAACATGTTTACAATAAATAAGTAGTTTCAATTCACACCATTAATTTTCTACCAACATCACACACTGTAACTAAAAGCATAAAAAATCCTGTGACAAAGATCAATTACACTAAGTATGAAATTAGGCATTAAAAACTTACCTAAAATAAAATTAGAAAAAAAAATAACAAAAATATTCGTCATCTAGTGATGTGCAACTTAAATAGAATCAAAAATCTAATTTGATTTTTACTAATTTTTTTTCTAATTAATTGTTAAAAATCTTTGCAAAATCTGTTAAGTTATAGTTTATGTGTATGTATTTTATTTGCACCTATTTCCAGTAACAAATATTTATATCATGAATTATATCAAAGTTTATTAAATCATGTACAAATATTCATGACAATCATGTACAAATTATCTTGTAATTAATAAATTTCAGTCATATATTGTTTATATTAAAATTAAATTAATTAGTGCATGTGTATTTAAACATACACTTGATTTGATTAAAGAAAAAGTTTTTAAACAGCATCAATTGAACTATGAACAAAACTCATGAGTTGTTCGACTAAAAACCTATGTGTAATAAAAAATATAAATTAATAATAATTATGCAAGTTTCGCTCTATCTAAATAGCCTTTTGATGTGCCTTTTCTATTTTTACCTATCTTTTTAGCAGACCCATTAGATGCCTTACGTTTTTCGTCTAAAAGTAGGGGTGGCAATGATACCTTCCTAATACTATACTGTGGATGAATGCCATTCAATCTTAAGCCATCATTATGTACTAATTCCGGTGTATAAAGTGGTTCAAGTTTGGCTAACTCTCTATGCTTTGCCGTTAAAATGCGAGCATTAAGAATTTTACTGTCAAAATTAATACTATTATAATTTCTATCTAAAGAAACCAATGACTTAGCACTATTTCTGTCATAATTAATTGAAGATTCTGGTCTTTTTCTTGTCCATTTGGATGAAGCAAGATCCGATCTCATTATACATTGGTTAGGTCTTTTCTTATGTGAAGGACTCCTGATATGTATTGGAGTTATGTGTAATAGGGAGCAAAATGCATCAGATAAATCAATATCATCATGAAGTTTGAAAGACACTTTCTCTCTAGTCAGTTTTGGTTCATAAGTGTCTTCTATATGAGAAAATCTTGGTGAATTCTGAGGTGTGACGTCTGTACTGCTCTGAGAAAGCCTTTCTTCACTTTCACTGAACTCATCATAGTCGCTGTAATGCATCGCTATCAACTCTTCTTGTTCCACTTGTTTATAAGAAAGCCTTTGTTCTGGCAACTTTAATGCTTTGCCAATAACCCTGGAATATTAAGGTAATTGATAAAATATATTACATGTTTATACAATGATACATAATATAATTTTAAATAACAGAGTAAAAATATGCAATTATTTCAGTAATATTTACAACAGTTTAATAAGTGTTCTAATTTATATTAACCCTTGTAAGATTGAAATTTTGCTACCTTAGCTGTGGATGTAATTGTTTCCATTGCTTGCATTCTTCTATCATGTGTGGTCGACTACATTTTTCACCTTCTTCATCATAGATAGTCCTCTCTATACAATCCCATTCCGCTTGCAATATTCTAGTTGCCTCAGCAGTATTCCTTTTAAAGGCTGACCCAGAACTACTATCACTTTCTTCACTATGAAGATCTGGGGTACCTAAATTAATATCAATAAACATAGTGTCACTTTTTGGAATACTAGATTAAATCAGCACAATTTTTTCATATAAATTGCATAAACAAATCTAGTTACGCAATTAATTTTTTTTTTATATATGAATAGTGTAATACCTGTTTCGCTTTCAGAAAAAAAATCTGAAAATGGTGTGCCAGCCCTGTCGAAACATTCTGTTGCATAGGGTGGAATTTTATAGGAAAAATTTAAATTCCTGTTCAATAATTTTGTACCATTAGCTGATTGCGCTGCCAGTTCTTGTCCTGAACGATACCCTGACTTTTGGTAATTTATTTGAGGTAAATAATCAATAACTTTGCTGATATTTCTTTCTCGTGCCGATAATATATAATTTCGTGCAGACATCATAAACAACTAAAATAACTTATTATTTTTATAAGCCTAACAAAAGACTGTTATTTAAATAAATCGACATTGTATGAAATGTTCAAAAATCTATCTTTTAAATTTATTATATCTACGAAAACATCAACAACTCAAGTGTCAAATCATATCTGACAATTCTGATTTTCGTTGTTTCAAAATATATTCATAGCCAATATAGTTTAACTCAATTTCAATATCATCAAATCATTCAAACATAATAATTAAAAAGAAACGTATGCTCAGAAAAATATTTGTTTAATTTCAAATAAAATCAATGGAAGTGTGACCATAAAACTCTTACCTTGATATTTGTTAATCAGTTAAGTAGTTTTATTTGAAAACTTAAAAAACTAAGAATTATATTAAAAGTGCCAATTTCGACTGCTTGCCTTGTTTTTTTATCCACTTTGTTTTTAAAACGTTTACAGATTGACATATTTCAAGCTTTTGTTCTATAAGCTGATAAAATATAAATGTATTCATTTCACAATATTAATAATTAAATAAACACTCTCATTCCATTCGCGGACACCTTTGTATTTTCTTGCAAAGTACTCAAGATTGTAATATGTCTAACAAATAAAACGTTGACATTGGCAAAATATTTCAAGATTCCAGTGTGAATGAAGCCATAGCATAACATAAAAAAAAGTATTCAAGCTGTTTTAATGACACTGACAAATGTTATCTTACTGAGCTTCCTACAGTTAGCTGCATTGCAGTTATAAATCAATACTTGTTACAAGGTTAGGCGCCGCTTTTCATATTTGATCCTACGGGAAAACTAACACAAAACACCTATGATGTCGCAAATTTCTATAGAAAATGGCAATAAGGATCAGGACGAGGTGAGTTTTTAAATATTATTAATTTATTATCATATTACCGGCTGACATCTCTTATTTTGATGAAAAAGTGCCAATAATAATTGGGAATATATAATTATATGCTTTATATTAATACAATGTCATCAAGAAATTAATCTAAATAATTGACTGTAATTTTTTTGTATAAAGAAAATAAATATATGAGAGAATATAATGAACCAATTTACCTACATAAATGATTATAATTCATGTATTTAATCCAAATTATATTGTCATTGCATTATTTTTTAATTATATCGTATGTATATTAAACAATTATATTATTTTAGAAACTACTCATGCCGTTTACATACATACAACAAGTACCTGGAAAGCAAGTCCGGGCTAAACTTACACTCGCCATCAACTATTGGTTGAAAGTTAGTGATACCAAACTCAAAGCTATTGGAGAAATTGTTCAAATGTTACACAACTCAAGCCTACTGTAAGTAACATCAATTTATTCAATGTTTAAATGACTTTCTTGTTTTGTTTTTCCTTCGCAAGCTCACAAGTGAAAATAACAAAATTTCTTAGATATATAAACAACAATAAGTAAATATTATACTGAAAAAAAGCTTTATTTTTATGAGGTATAGAGCATCTTAATTTCTTACAACATTATTCTTGATGCACTTGGAATGCTCTAAATAATAGTGTCCTTTCAAATGTGTATACACAATAATCTTATATATCATTATCATCTTATCTAAATAAGAATGTTTTAAAACTAGATTTTTCTTTAACAATTTGTAGAATTGTTTCTTTCAACATTTTAAGATGAGTGTTATAGTTTTTGTGATTCATAGCATCGGAGCGCTTGAAATTAATTGGTCACAATTGGCAAAATTTATATTGCACTTTAATGAAAATTGCTTCTATTTTTATTGCACTTTGTCATGGAATTAATTAAACAGCTTGTTGTCACTTACATTTATTAATGACTCTTAATTTATGATTTAACACAAGTTATTGTTAACTACCAAGACTTCTGGGACAAATGGGGGGGAGGGTCTAACTATACTAGCTTTTCATAGTAATATAATTAAGAATTGACTATTTCTGAGACTTTACTTATAAGAGATTATACAACAATTTCTGTTTTATTGCCTGTTAATTTTTACTATTACGTTAGTGGAACGAATTACGTAAATATTTTGTTTTCACATATTTTACTATCATTTTCATTTTGTTATTTGTAACAGTTTAGATGATATACAAGATAATTCAATACTTCGTCGCGGTATACCAGTGGCTCATTCCATATATGGCATCGCTAGTACTATTAACGCCGCCAATTATGTGGTCACCATTGCTTTGGGAAAAACATTGCAGCTTGATCATCCATTGGTAAGTATTGATGGGAAAAATTCCCTTAGAGAAAAAGTAGGCATTTGATTTAATTTCAGCTTTTATGGCTTAATCATTGCGGTTAGTGAATTTTATTTCATATGTTAATTGAGTTATTTATATACTTGTATTGGTATTAATCTTACTTTGTATTGATAACAATTAAAATGTATGGCCATAAAATTAAAACGAGTAAAAGTACAACAGTTTATAATGCTTTGGAGTATATTAAAAAATAATCGATTTTCTTACTAAATCCAATATTGATTTAAATAAGGATATTTTTTTAAATGAAATTTTTGTGTGATAGAATTTTCTTAATTCTCAATTTTCGTACGAATTCTATAGGACACTATTATTGCAGGCAACAACAGTGTACACGGAACAGCTTCTTGAGCTGTATCGCGGACAAGGTATTGAGATATACTGGAGAGATAACTTCTATTGTCCCACCGAAGACGAATATAAGGAGATGACCATAAAAAGTGAGCATTGCATTGTTTATCATATCATATCGTATCGTATCGTATAGTATCGTATCGTGTCATGTCATATATGTCGTATCACAGTTTATTTATTTAAATCACCTTGTATCATACCATCCATGTTGAATATATAATTATTGTTTATTCAAATGTAAGATAATAAGTAGGTATCACAAGGTTCGTGTGTAATTTTGTAATGTTATTGAAGTATATTGTTGAAGTTATTAAAGTTTTAAATAACATTATATTATATAAATTTTACTAATCATCAAAAATGTGTGAATTTTTTTGGGATAGTATTTAAAAAGTATCTTTTCTTTACCATATCGAACGAATCTCATTCATCTTAAAACATATAAGGTAAATAAATAATATTCAGATGTAAGTATATTATAAAATGTAAAATAAAGTAAGGTCGTAAATACAAGGTTGTTAACATTCTAAGTAGTTAAAGCTGTTTTTAATATTGCAGTGAATAAGTAATAATGAAACAAAATACTATGTATGAGGAAAAAGTCATGATTAAGATAAATGATGCTTAAAAGGTACTTTGGTATGCACATTATTTTATGAAAATCTTTACATTTAAATGATGTCATGACCCCGACTTCATCCAAGTTGAATAAATAAATAATTTTCTATTTATATTCATAAAAATAAATAATGTTTCAAGAACGAAACTAGCTTCCCTTACTTATTAAAGCAATAATAAAGTTAGTGAAAGTAACATCGAAACCGGTCTAGCTATTTCAGAGATTAGCCGGAACGTACAAACAGACACTTCAATGTATTTATAATTTGAAGTTATTTACATATTAAAAAACTATCACACATTAGTGAAGGTCCTTATCATAATTTTTATAAATGTAATCGAGAATTATGTAAGGTCAAGGTAAAGGTCAAGGTAAATGCTTTAAATAAATATTCCGCTATATTAAGATAAATTTATATTAACTGTAAATTTGTAGTTCAATATAGGGATTTTTAAAAATGATAACGTCACTATAAATGACGTCGCCAAAGCCTATATGTATACTTAATTTTCTGTCGAGGTTTTGAAGGTAGTTTAAGATTATTCTAATTATAGGAATTACGCCGATAGATATAGTATCATATGTTTTGAATTTTACATCTAATTTTCTTAGTATTGAAGAAAATTTTGCTATAAGTATCCTAATTTGGAATTATCATATAATGTTCATTCTATTCCTCTTCTCTTATCTCTATATTAGTACTAGCTTTCCGCTTGCAGCTTTGCCCGCGTAGAGTTCGGTTATATCGCGTTTCCAAGAGAACCTTTCAAAAGTCTGGGATTGAAACTATCCTATTTTCTGTCTCAAGGTCAACTCTATCTCTGTACCAAATTTCATTAAAATTAATTCAATGGTTTAGGCGTGAAAGCGTAACAGACAGACAGACAGAGTTACTTTCGCATTTATAATATTAGTAAGGATTAGTGTAGTATATGTATCATACAAGACTCATTTAATTGCTGTCGTATATGTTATTTTTACCAAATCTAGCATCAGTAATACACAATATATAATGAGTGTATTAATTTTTTTCAGAGACCGGTGGCTTGTTCATGTTGGCGATACGTCTCATGCAGTTGTTCAGTGACAACAAATCAGATTTCACCAAACTGTCATCCATACTGGGACTATACTTCCAGATTCGTGATGATTACTGCAATTTGTGTTTACAGGAGGTAATATATTTACTAGTAATTACTCGCGTGAATATTAAAGTGCTCATAAATAAATTTATGGGTGTGTTAAAGAAATCTATATAATACTAGACTGTCGCGTTTTCATTTCAATTAATCTAAATACAGTCGGTAGATCCATCTGTCGGGCTGATTAATAAATCTAAACAAACCTGGGCGCCACCAAAATGCACCAAAAATTCATTCAAATCGGTCCAGCCGTTATAATCACGTACAAACGTATGGTAGAATTACTATATACTGTAACGTGCTGGTATTTAATTTGCAATTAATAATGACATTGAACAGAAAACACACATTTTTACTTAATAAAGATGGCACGTAATATAACTTGTATCTCGTTTTACTATACACTAGCTCTAAACCTACCCCGCAAATTTTATAGGCTTTAATGAGGTTACTAGAATATTCTAAGACATTTTTGTTTTGCATTCATTAAGAATAAGAATATTATAGTAAATGTATACCTACAATTTTTGTCCTTCCGTCACGAGATGGCGCTACCTTAACGTCGAAAACATTCTAGCATATTGACTAAGCCCGCTTAAGCCCGCTACAATGTATATAAAGATAAATACATTCCAATATACAGGGTGACTGGTGAATTACTATCGATATTTGAGGACGTGATATTTCACGATCATATATGACAAAATAAAAATTAATATAACATAAATATTAATAAACTTCTAAGTAAAGTTAACCAAAAGTTATGTAATTAATTACGCATCGTGTGAACACCCTACAGATTAGGTATACACTGACACTCACACATACGCGTGTCGTGACGTAGTGTTGTATCAGCACGCCGCCGCACGCGTCCACACTTGAACATTTGGAACGTGTCAACACTTTACTTATTTATACGGAAATTTTGTCAAAAATTAAGTGCCTATTTTTTTTACATTATTCGAATGAGAATCATGTACCGAGTATTCTCCTTAAATATTGATAGTAATTCACCAGTCACCCTGTATACATCCACCTTCAAAAAGTTTATATGTTTATGTATTAGTTATCTATGAAACATTTGATATATGTTATATTGCATACATTTTTTTTACAGTATAGCGAGAATAAGAGCTACTGTGAGGATTTAACTGAGGGAAAATTCAGCTTCCCAATAATACACGCGATACACACACACAAGGAAGATAATCAAGTCCTTCGTATCCTTTTTATCGTCATTTCAAAGTTTTATTTGTGTACTGTTAAAATATATATAAAAATGTTTAACATTCTCCAATAACACAAGTAATGTGTTAATTTCAGATTTTAGAAAGGAAATCTTCATTACTAGATACATATTTTTTGTTATTTGAGAGTTATCTACATATATATGTAAATATATTCTGAGAAAGATAAAAAAAGATATATTTTCTTTATCCTTAACGTATCAGACATCCTCCGTCAGCGGACGCGTGATGTTGAGGTGAAGCGTTATTGCATCTCATTGTTGGAGAAGTTTGGAAGCTTCCAATACACACGAGAACGATTGGCCATGTTAGACCAAGAGGCTAGAGATGAGGTACGACAAAAGATTCGTTCATTCATTTTCATTCATTCATTCCAATATGGTTGTCAATTTTGCTATACTATAAAAGTTATAAACGAATTGAAGTAATATCCATTCATTCACACTCTCGTTCATTCATTCATTGATATAAATGTAAAGCGTTTAGGTTGATTAATTTTATACCAATACATTGCCTTATATCTGTAAATTTTGCTATACTATAAAAGTTATATCAAATGGAAGTAATATCCATTCATTCACACGCTCATTCATTCATTAATTAATATAAATGTGGTTTCGGTCGGTTAATTTTATACTAATATTGGATTGCATTATGGTTGTCAACTTTACTATTAATATAATACTTATTTGTTTTTATGTAAATCCTATTACTTATAATTCAGGTTCGACGTCTGGGTGGCAACCCTCACTTAGAAGAATTCTTGGATGATCTTTTGAGTTGGAGGCGAGACAAGAAATTGAACAATTTTGAACAATAATTTTCAAAATACTGTTGTTTCTAATATCCTAATATTTTGTGTGGTTTAATTATAAAATTTTTGTTTGGCTTAACTTCCAAAACACTGAATCTTTTAAATAATATTTTATAATTTATTTAGGTTAATTAGTTTTATATGAAATATGTTTTGGTGTATCTTAAAAATATTAATTGTTGTTTAAAATTTATTTGATACATAATGTTTAATTCAGATTAGATTTTTTTTATTATATATCAATGTTGCATAAAAAGATCTTAGATATTTTTTGTTAAACTTTCTATTCTATTGTTAATAATTGATAATGATTTCATGATAAAAATGTTTCTCGTTAAATACATTTCAACCAAAGTTTAAAGAATTGATGATTCTCCAAATTGATTTTCTATGAAGTAAAATATTTTTTTATGTTCTTTTAAAATTACTTAATTTTATGTACTTATTTGTCTGATTTGGACAAGAAAGAATAATAATAAAATTCTAATATCATTATGTTAATGTAGTATTGATAATACTAGTCATAGATAACTAAATGTATGGAAGAACATTAAAATAGGACGCATGTAGTAGATTAAAGTAACAAAGTACTTAGTACTTCAATATGTCCTTTGGCTACTAACATTCCTATATAAAATCTTAATAATTTTTCAATATTTGCAGTATATACTTACTTAAGTACTTAGATATTACTGTAGTATAGTTTTCATCAGATATGCTTAGAGAAAACAAACGTTGAATTAAATAGTTATAAATTTATTATAAGAGAAATGTATGTGTTAAGAATAAAGGAATCCTATTGGTGGGATTTCTAGGCACGCTATTGGTGGAAATTAGAGACTTGCTATTGGTGGAATATTTATATGTGTCCCGGTTAGAAATTCTGATGGAATGTTATATCTTAGGCTTTTAGAATTCTATCTCACCTTAGATTGCTTATATTAACTATTACAATGCTAGTTATTATAGTATCAATAGTTTAATAGTATCATTACATGATAAGTTTATTTTATAAGGGGTGTTCTACACGATGAATTAACTCACTTGTAGTAATATATATAGAAGGGTTTCATTACGAAGGTGTCTTTTAGATACTGAATATATGGTAGCTTAAGGGACCTTAATTTTGTTAAATTACCAATATGTAACAATAGAAATATGTTCAGGAAAATTATTGTAATAGTATTCCACTGCCTATTTAGACTCTGAATAAACAAATGTCTTACATAGTATAAAACTATAAAATCTACACTTAAAGAATTGCAATGAAACAATCATTTTATATACATTTAATTAGTTTTGTTATACATTGCAAAATTTTATTGAAAATATATAATTGTTGTACAGCTTCTGATATAAAATGGCTTCTGTTTATTTCATGAAAATTGTTTAATAACCTTGAACAAACTTTTAATAATTCAATAAGTGATATTAAAATATAAAATCATTTCATTACCATTTATATCGATACCAATAGCAGTTCAATATTATTCTCTGTATTATATTAAATATGCATATATAGAATTATGATTTTAGATATAAAAAACTTATGTTAAATTATTTGAAATAGTAAAAAAGGGCTTAATTTTACATTTTTATAATATGATTTTATGTTTGATTAATAATTATTATGTGTCTATTATATAAGAACCACATCTGTGTCTCAAAACATTATTTCAATAGTAATTATATGGAAATATATGGTCATAATTTTAATAATATCAATATTAATATTAATTTTCTATGTAATAATAGTTTGTTGGTAGATAAATCTATTTATATTCGAGCTGCAATAAATATCTCCTAGCCTAAATATAAATGTATTATATTTGCTTCTGTTTTGTGATTTATAATTATGTTTTCATTATTATTCTGATAACCATACTCATGTTAAAATGTCTTCCAATAACGACAATAAATGTTTTATTCAATTTTCTTAGAATTTATAATTGATATTTAATTTTTAATCCCTCCTATGCGTCCTTGGCCTTTTAATTTAAATTAATTTTTATTCCCAAACGGAGTCAATAAGATATGGTAAAAATGTTTACCTGATCGCTAAAAAACAATGGCAAGGGCCAACTTCAAGCTTATAAGTGGTCTAGAAATTACTTTCTCTCTGGTATCAAATGAGATACCGTGGTTTTTAACGTATGAAAGAACTTGAGTCACAATAATAACTATACTTAGCTTCTGAAGCAACATAATTAAAATGTATTCATAAAAATATATGATTCTATTTTACATATTGTTTTTGTGGAAAGCATATTACTAATCATAGAAAAATATAAGGAAAATCAAATGTTTAGATTTCACACATCTATTGTTTGTTTTAACTCTAATTTTGTATTTTAGCACGTTTACTTGAACATCCTAAAAAATAAAAGTTCAAAGTCTTATTGCAAGAAGTTATTTCTTGCAGACAAAATTAAAAAAAAATGTTTCACGTAGTACTATATGAAATAAATCGAATAAATATTCAGGAATAACGAAGTAATGCTTAAATGTTAATATTTGTTTTATGATTATGTAATTACGGATCGACTGAGCAGTCGTTCATATTTTCAGAAACTCAATAATTAACATGTTTTTAAATAGTTCTCTTCGCTAATGAAAATGACAATCTCAAAATAGACGTAGTCAGAAAAAGCTGGTATAAATATATAAATGAAGGCATAATATATAAATATTTATCGACTCAAGATGATTTAGAAATAAAAAAATTTGAAAGAAAAAGGCCCAAATGTTTCCTATATGTTGTCCCTGTAACAAAATATGAAATAGCTCCTATTTCTGATGAACTCAAAGAATTCTAAAGTCTGTCATCTTACACTGTGTTTGCAAAATACATATATGCAAACTTCTTTGGCCTTAACATAAATTTTGCTTCATAATCAAGAAAAGGTAAGGCGATGAGGAAAAGGAGGCACAGTTTGGGATCATTGCAAATGATAAGGTTAGTAATTAATTAAATTTAAAATTACCTACCATTGTACTTACTATGCTGAAATAAGATGCTAATTCGACGTCTTAATTAATTTTAACTTTAAATAATAATTATCCTCTTCATTGTACAACCCACTGATAAAACGGTGTACGAAGGACGGTCTTATCATCAAAAAGCGATCTTTGCCACACCACCCAAACAGATTAATAAAATATTTAAATTTAAATAAGTGTAGATCTCCTGTTGTCGGCCACACATTAACTTATTCAATCAGTCAATTACTGGTGTAAATATTATGTTAGCAGAACTTCGTATATTAGGCTTGACATCAAAGTCATTGAAATATCTCCGTAATTAATATAACTAACATGTGCACAGACAGCACTCAGTACATGAGACTTGATGTTAAAGTCATCGATGTTGAGAATATCACCGAAATCTATTATTAAGACAACTAACATGTCTTTCCACGCTTCTATCATCTTCTTTATACTGTTATTTTAAGGAAATTTGTGTTTTAAATGGGACTGATACTAAGAGGACGCTTTGGGACCCTAGATAGGAAGGGTATGCCTATTTTTCATCATCTAAATAAAATGTTATAAAATATAATAGTCATGAATTATATCTTGCAAATAAGCTTTTAGCAGGTAAGTTAAACAAAAGAAAGTAATTTAGAGTTAAGTTTTTATTTCGTGCAAATTTAATTACAGCCATAAGTGAGTACTGACAATCACAGATTACCTAAGTACCCAAAAATTATACAAAATTGAAAATATAACGTATTGTAACCCAATTATTATATAAACTTTCTAACGATGACATAACAATACGTTTCGTACTTAATTTTTCAAATTTTTTTAAAACAAAATATTATGCCATCGAAGTTACTTACCTCAATGGAAAATATACCTAATAATAAACAGCATAACACATTAATCAAAGCAAATACTATTAAGATTTTAACTGTTCACTATGCTTGTTAGCTATGACAAGCTTATCAAACATCTTAATGAACTCTTTACTCGATGCTTGATTATTAAATAAGATGTAATGATATCTAAGATTTGTGCGTGTACACATTTAACTCAAGCTAAGTTTTCCCATAGCTACGCTTTTTTGTAATTTTATTTCCAAATTTTCCTATGGTTTTAATGAATCTTCAGCAACGGCGTGGTAAAAGTGTTTGACACTCATTAGTTTACACTTCAAAAGTAATCGAAATATGGGAAATAAAATCATAAAAAGATTTGAAGTTATCCCAAAGACTAGGTTTCATTTATACAAGGTGTGTTAACTGCACAGTAATTACGAGGTAAGAAATGCATGAGTCCAAAACTATTACAAGTAATGCAAGGTCCATAGGGACAATGGAAAACATGTAAAACTTGAACGGTCTTGCATCTACGTAGCTGGAAAACCTCTCCATAGCTAGGATTTCACTCCTATCTACTGTATGATTTTCTACAAAAAAGGAGATATTACTTGTAACATTTAGAAAAAAAGTAGATACAAATTGTAATTTGGGTTTTATAGCTAAAACTTAATACGGTATTTTAAGGGAAACTCACCATATTCGTTTGATATTCTATTATGCAATATAAGTTTAATCTTAGAAGCTTCTTGTGATAGCAATGTGGCTACAATCGTTGGAATAGCCCAAACAATTGTTGATTGTACCAAAGATAGATACGGAGCAATTGTCGCGATGTTTATCTGGAATTTAAAAACAAAATTATTATAAAATTGATGTGATTAATATTACTACAAATATGACTTACACCATCTTGCTGTAGATTTTCAAGCATCAAGTAGATGGACGCCAGTATAGTTGGTATATTGAAAAATAAACGTATTATGTACTGGAAAGAGTATTATTTATGGGCAATAAATTAATAGGTATCATCAATGTCATAAATCTAATACATTTACTTACAATGTATCTAAATGGTTGCATTATATTTTCAATGGAATCGATTAAAAATCTATAAAGTTGGTGTACTTGGAATACAGACGACTTTTGATTTACTAAAAATATGTTAAGTTGCTCCATTCTATAGAACATCGAAAGGTATATAAAGAAATAAACCATCAGAGGGAAATGGTAAGTACGGTAAGGAACGTAGAATAATAGTTTTAAATAAGTTAATTTCACATAATCGTCACAGTAAATAAAATATAGAACTATCATTGAAATATCATATATACACGATAAAATAAAATAAAACATTATTTTATACTCCAACTTGTACGAAGAAGTTTCAACTTGAATTTTTTTATCAAATTGTTGTAACTCCATTAGATAATAACAAAATGTTCTATTTTGTGGAGTAAAAATAAAAATTAACACATATAAATAATATTCAATAAAAAAATATAATGTCCACATGAAATAGAAATCATCCTGAACGTAATATACCACTACTACCATTACAAAAATCCCATAAAATAGTGACAACAAAAATGCACCGAGTTTATATAAAAACCTGTCTTTTGGTGTTTTATAATCAATAAATCCGAAATCTAAACATAAAAATAATTGAATAAATGTAAAGAATATTTTAATATTCTTCGAACTTAGTAACGTATTATAATGATTTCGATTATTTATTTCCACTGTTAATAATTTTTTGGTCTTATACATGTCGTCGTCCATAGCTTCAAGGTTTTTGATGCCAAATTTAAATTGCAGAAATGTTTCGTGTTGAGAACTTTACATAAATATTAGAATCCAATACAGTATAAAACCATTATTTATTTTTGATAAATATCTTTTTTATAATTAATATGAATACGATACGAATTAATGTTATAGTTGGTATTTGGTCAGCTACAGACTACCTACCTATTATAAAAATCACTAGTTTGCATGTTATCGTCTTTTAAAATTGATATAATCAAGATAAAAAATGAGGTTTAAATATACGAACCTCCTATAATAATTAATTATTCCCAACACTATAATGCATATTATGTTTAAGAAATATTAAATTTAACGTTTGAGAATTAAATATTTTACAATTTCTCGAAACCGATGTGTATGTTTCTATTTTCTATTTTATCTTTTAAAAATATAAACAGTGATTTTCAAACTATTGCTAAAAATGGATTACTACTTTCATCTCTCAACCGGGTCTTACCAGGTAAAAACATAAAGTCAACATAGAATTTAGTAAAGGCATTTAATCTTATTTATACACAATAAGATGCACAATTGTACATCAAACTTTTGTACATAGAATTTTGAACTTGCCTTTATCTTTTATAATATCGGATTTGTAGGATAATGGAATAAAAACATTTTTTAAACAATTGTTTTCCGTGGAATTGTGGCATTCCGTGGCATGATAAAGAGAATGTAGAAATAGAAATAAAAACGGAGATCGACTAGTGAAATTTGCTTTAGAAAACAATTTTAGTATCTTGAACAGTTTGTAGAATACAATATAAGACAAGAAAAGGACTTGGTGTTCCTCAAGTGGACTGTACAAAATCCTAATCGATTATAGGTATAAGGCATGTCTTTCGTTCATAGGTTAAATATTAAGTCAGACCACAATTAATTGATTCATGTAACGATATGAGGGAGTCATAAAAAGGAAAGTTCAATGCTAGCAAATGAATCAGTGCAATATGTTTTCTTAGAAATTAAAACCGTTTTAGGAATAACTTAAAATAAGAGGTGTGTATAGAAAAGATACTAAGGAATGTAATAAACCATTTCGAAAGATTTTTTGAGGTAACAAAGGTAAATATAAAATAAATATAATAAGAAGGCCACGAGAAGCGAGAAAGTGTTCGACGAAGTGACCCTATTTTACCGTAAATTTTCTCAAATGTATTAGAGGTGATATGATATCTTTGAGAGACTAGATTGGAACGATTTTTGATTAAATGTCAACGGAGAGGGATTGAGTCATTTCACCAAATACTTGGAGGTGGAGCGAAATGATAAACAAGAAATAGAAATTTCTGGCCTATACAGAATAACAATAGAATAATATAATAATATGTCCGGACGGAATAGAAAGAATCATACTTGGGCCAGTAAGATAAAAATATACAATTTAAATTAATTCAAGAAAAGACTAAATCCGAAACAGTAAAAACGACATGCTGGACACTAAAAGGATATATCACAGGCCACACGTAAAGAGAAAATGGACGAGAATATTTATTATTTATAAAATAATAAAAATTTCTTTCAAGGATACATTATAAACCCCTGTGGTTTTAGACCACTCGGGTATTCGACGTACTTTGAGTCAATCAAATTAGCTTACACACTAGGTAGAGAGGAGTCTTTGTCAAGTATCATATTTTTCAGAAAAACTATTCCTCCTTTAGTCTTTTTTGAACAAAATACTAAATTGAAATGAGTTTATAATTTATAAAATAATTTAATATTTAAATTTGATAATAACCACCTTCATTAAACATTCTTTCTTTTAATATTAGTCTAACATTCATAGTCTCTTGATAGCATTGTAACTGTAATAGTCGATACTGTCTAAATAGTCATTGATCCTAACCGAGTTAAATGTGGTACAATATTTCCAATGGTGACATAACGTTATATTTAAAAGCCAATTCTACACCACTTACCCCATCTTGCTGTATATTTTCAAGTATATTTTGTACCTGGTAGGTACATTAAATGATAACCGTACAATATACTGAAATAAAATTAAATAAAAAAATACTTAAAATAAGAGCACTATTTTCATACACTCTTATATAACTTACAATGTTCATATATGATTTCAATATATTTTGGATGGACTCAAATAGAAATGTAAATTACAAGGCTTACACTTAATATATATATATATATTTTAAGGTATTTAAGTTTCTAGAACATTGACAGATACACAAAGAAATTAACTTATTTATTAAGGTAGATATGGAACGTAAAATTATATTTTTAAGAATACTACTTTCTCGTAATCAGTACCGTGTGCACATTGAAGATGTTTCAAAAGAATATCAAACAAAGATGACAAAATGAAGTAAGAAAATATTACTTTATTATCCAAATTATATGAAGATATTTAAAGCATTTTTTTAAATCAATCTGACGCAATTCCATATGATGGTATGAAAATGAAATATTGTGTAAAAAATGTATACTCCACATTAACTAGAAATTGTTTTTAACTTTGTATACCTTTGCGATCATAATAAAAAACCCAATGACAACGAAAATGTTAAGAATTTGAAAAAACTTCCTGTTTGGAGCTGTGTACTCTATGAATCCAAAATCTTAAAATAAAAATAATGGAATTTATATTAAAAATATTTTCTATTTCCTCGGACTTGATAATTTATTTTCATGATTGTGATCAATACCACTTTTATTTTTTGTGTGTACTGTGTATTTTTTTGTGATCCGTATATGTATATAAATACATTTATAAATGCTATAAAGAGCTTATACTATTCAGTACTACGACAAACTGACAACAAACATTATATTTTCTTCGAGAACAAAATCATTACTTATTTCAGACAAAATAATCTGTTTTATAATCTCCGCTATCTATTTAAAATTAATGTATCTACCTAATAGTAACTACTTTTTCAAATGTCGTTTAACTTATTGCTGGCATTAGATAAAATTGCTAGTTTGCATGTTGTCCATTATCGATATTGATGTGATATTCATATATAACATTTAGAAATAGCATGGAACTATTATCCTCTATAATTTATTTTTTATTATAATATATAGTTAAATATTTGCACTCGCTTTAAGGTATAAATTCAAGTCTAGGTATTGTAAATACCTTCCAATATTTATTATTAAAAGAGTTTTAAGGAAATAGAAATAATAAACACCTCAAATAAAAAGTTCTGTGTTTGATGAAATCCGAAGAGAATCTCTGAACGGATACTTACTTAATTACTTCTTATTTTTAAGTTATTGGACCAGTTAGTACAACCGTAATATTTTATTCGGCGGAAGCATTTCAACAAATTCCAATTCGTTTGTAATCTTTTGAGGGAAAGCATTCATTACTCTGTAAAGATAATATAAATAATTTAATGCCGTTAAAATTAACGAATTTATGTACTAAATAACTTTATATGACTTGAGATGTCATGACGCTCTTGTCTTTTGGCCTTGGACTTGCTAACATGTAAATATGATCCGTTGTGTGTCTTGGATTCTTCGTAAATAATGGAGAGTAAGGTCTTCATTCACTCCTACACCTTTAGTCTTGATTTCTTCCATTAAAAAATTAAAAAACTAATGCAATTGTATAATACAGTACAGGCTGTTGTACTATCTAACTAAGGCCAATGTTAAGTGAGCTGTAGGAATAGACAACGGAACTCTAAGCGGTTAGTTCTATTCTTATTAAGTATCTTACTGCAGTGTTACTGATAATTATATTTCGATAAGGAGTAAAAACGAAATTACATACGGATGCTGGTTTTATAAGTTTGTAACAAAGGCTCATTCTAGTAGAAGGGAAAGTGTTGGAATCCAAAGAGAACAGCTACGAGCTTGAAACCTTAGCGATACTCATTTGACAAGATTCAAGAACCTTTTCACATAATTTATATTCATAACTCTTTTCAACTAAATAACTAACTTAAAAATAATATACATTGTACTAATGGATAGCTAGACAAAATTGCTTAGAGCACAGTCTGACTGAAATAAAATCAAACAACATCCAAAATGATTATTGTTGATGAAAATATTGCTATTGTTTGCAATAAAAATATTTCGGTCAATATCCAAACAAATTACATTAATCCGTTTTATCTATTAACATAAATAATGGTAAAATAAATCAAGCGTCGATTCAGAATCACTTGAGGATGGTCGAGGAAGATGAGGAAAGATAATTCAAGATATGATATTAGAAAGCTCCAATGAAAAGTTTCCAAATAGGAGAATACTTAATTTTCAGGTATTTACCAAGGTTTTTCTTAAAATTCTAAAAATGCTGTACAGAGCATCGCTCTGAATGTATAAAACTAAAAAATAAGGCTATATTAAAAGATTTGCTTTTAATATTTTTTAAATATTGTTATCACATATGTTATATCTAAAATATTATATTATATACAAATGTTACCACATTTATAAACAACAATTTTTATTAACTTGTTTCAACGTCCTTCCAACTCAATAGACCATCTAGTACTTCTTCCAAAATAGGATTTCCACCTAAACGTGTGAGCTGTAATAAAAATAATGACCTTCTTAATAGAATCTATGACTTTTGCGATAATTTTAAATTAAAATATTAGTTTCAATTAAATAATCCTTTTATATGTGTAGACCTAAACATAGAAAATGTTGTAATTTCATTAACTTTGATAAACCCCCACAAAAATTTTTACTTCATACAGAGACTACTCTAATGCGAGTGAAATATATGTATTTATTTTCGATTAAAATTTTGTTATATTCATAAACTATGGGCACAAAATATTGCGGTGACATACATATATAAATTGTAATGTAACTAACTTAAAATATTAACAAAAAACAGGATAAGACAGTGGTATAATAAAACTAAGCATCGAAACGATTTCGTGATATTAGAAGGTGTTGGTACTCTTTGGTCTGTTATAATACTTAAAAATTAATTACTGTTTGATTTGAATTTGGCGTTCTCAAGTTTTAATTCTATTTTACTCACGATGTCATTCAATTATCTAAATTAAAATGTATTTCAGATTTATCACAAGATATCATGTAGATGGGACGGGAATTTTAACACAAAACAAAGAAGTTTTAACAGAGTTATAGCCTACCTCTTTCCTTGCCTCTCGGTCCAACTCAGACAGCAAGTCTTTCGTATACTGTAGACTTCCAGATTTCTCCATCAACGAAAGGCAATACTTCTTTAACTCCACATTACGAGTGCGCTGACGCAATATGCCTTTCATAATTTAGGAAAAAATCTTTCTAATTCTAATTTCATACAGTTTTACATACATTTATCTCTTTTGTATATATATTTTATTAAAAATATGGTATAAAAATAATTGTATTTAAAAAATAAATTTACTAGTACTATGCTAAGCTCAGTTTAGTTGTTGAACAATGAATATACATTAGTTAATCTTTTCTCACTGTTATGGTTCATTTTAACAGCAACACTAATAGTAAAGTATGGAGTCTCCATACTCCATAATATTCACAGATGACGGTTAAAAAGGATACTTAAAATTCTTGGACCTTCTGGTGTCTTCATGGCATGTATAATTGGTAAACTGAATTTACCCTCGGTTATATCTTCACAAAAGTTGTTTTCTTTAGATGCCTTAAAACAAATTATTGAAGCAATATTAAAAATGCTGTACACTAATTCTTATGTATTTAAATTATAAACTTATTGCTGGAAATATACATATGTAAAATATTTATTATAGGATTAAGTGATATGATTAAAGGTTGTTATTGGTGTCGAAAAGCCTTCTAGGACAAACAAAAATTGTTTAAGAAATTTATGGGATGTAGTATGTACAATAGAGATTGTCCAATAACAACTTTTTTTATTACGACTGTTATATACACATTAAATACATTACTCAGACAGTATACATAAGTACATATATGTATATATAATTTTTTATTAGTAATAAATCCACTTTGATGATCATTTTTACATCTACATATTAAGTCTAGGCCAAAACATTTAAACAAAAAGGCCTTTTTTACCTTTTAATAGTATTCCCACATATATGATAAGTTCCCTGAGCATGTTGTACCTACTGTGGTTTTTACTGTGTTGGTGTGGAAAACATACTCGTGAATTAAGTACCATTCCAAGGTTTTAATAGGATAAGGTCACAGAAAAATCCACCAAAAACTTTAAATGAAAGCGATAGAAATATAAAAGCCTTCTAAGTACATTTCAATTCGTAATTTGTAATAATTAATTCAACTTTTATCACGATCAGTTTACCAAAAACAGCAGTTTTACATATGAGATCCTATTTACTTTTCAGTTCAACTTACCATTTGCTTTATCTGTCAATAAACCGAGATTTGAGATTCGGCGATACATTTAAATATTTGCAAAAAAATTAAGAAGACTAAGACTGAAAAAATCCTATGTATATCTGTTTAACACATTCAGGTGTAATTTTCTATTTGTATGAAATTGCGAAAATGACAACGTTTGAAGAAAAAACATGTAAAAAAGTACTCACTTGTGTGTCTTCTTCTCCGGGCCACTCTTCCAGTGCCTAAAAATACAATAAGTGTTATATTATATGCTAATTTGTGTCAGTTGTTTTTTTATAAAGTAAAACAAAAATACCTCTTGCTGTCTTAAATTGCAATAATCATCTCTCAGTTGGAAGTAATATCCGAGAAGTCTAACAAAGTCATCATAGTTTTGTTTATTTTCGCTAAATAGTTGCATCAATTTGACTCCCAATAATAACATACAACCAGTTTCTGGAAAACAACAAATATCACGTATAAAGTCGTTTATACCTAATAATACATCTTTTTTCTTTTAAAAAATATATGAAGCTGTTTTTATAATGTTATGGCATCTATACATGCATTCATTATTTGATAATTGTCATTTTAGATAATAGAGAAATATTACTTTATTGTTTTAATATGAGACATGAATATTTATAAAATTACTAAAAAAATAGGATGTAGTAATAATAATAATACAATTATTTCATTTATAAAAAAATAGTGTTACGATAGGATAGATTTTAACTTGTTTTATGTAGTATTTTAACTAACTCATCACTTGTTCTTTTATAAAAAGAATAGTGAGAACAATCACTTACTTCTTTCGACCATTTTCTTGTACTCCGCCTCGGTTGGACATATGTAGTTGTCTCGGCAGTAAATTTCAAAACCTTGACCGATTATTGCATCATGCACCTGACTAACGTATATGTGGCCACCCTGTAAGATTTTTAATTTATTTTTAGTCATCGCAGAGTATAAAATCCACAATTATGTTGAATATAATAGTCAATTTATTACTTGGAATTATATGCAAAAGCAATGAAATACATATATATGTACCTACCTCTCCACTAGGAGTCAAATCTATAGCTTTTTGAAAGCACATAATAACCACTTGCATGGTAGCATTTAATGTAAGGGGAAGTCCATAAATACAGTGAGCAGCAGGAAGTCCTCGACGTGATAAAGCGTTGTCTTGGATATCGTCAAGTCTAAAATATTTATTACTTTTATAGTTTATGCGTTTAATATAATATCACGTTAGATTTTAATATTTTTTTGTAGTTATTCATTAAACAAGGATGATACACTAGTACAATATGTTTAACAGGATATTAATTATGTATGTTATTAAATTTATATCAAAAAAGGTTACAGTAAAGATCCAACATGCAGAGTATTCATAACATCCATAGCACTCTGTACTTGATCTTCGGGTACTTTTAGCCAGTGATTGAATGCCAATACGATTTTGTTACGGAAACGCTTGCCCGTTACTTGGAGGAGATGTGTGAAAGGTGCGAGCAGTTCCTGGAAAATTTCTTGTATTAGTCAAGAATCAAAATTATATGGAAGGGTTAAGATAAGATGAGGAATTGTCTCATTTCTACTAGGTACTAAAAAACAAGATTTAATAACAATCAGTATTAGCTCATGTCACCAGCTCCTTCATAAATTGACAATTATTCTAAGATTTTCGTATAAACTATAAATTAATTCTGATGTCAATTTTAATTAGCGTTAAATTTATATAAAAAGAAATACCTACTTCTTCAAAATCTTCTTGTCCATTTTTTTCATAGTCAGACATGTTCAAAAGTAAATAGCTAAGGCAAAGTGTTAAAACCCCACTGGGTGCAACCTTATATAGAACATTAAGTAAGGATATTAATGTTAATTGTAGTAAGGCCATTTGGAAATCAGTGCCATTCATTTGAACGTAATTAATAAATTGGATCTTAATGACTCAATGATTTTTATGAACGTCTTTAAAATATATATCATATATTTTTGGATAAATTTATAAAAAGTTAAATAAAATTGATAACAAGAGGCTATCTCCAAATAATCACTAAAGCTTCTGCTTTTCATCGGGAGGTCTTTATACTAAGAAATATTCGTAGACAGTTTTTTACGCATAAATATGAATTAACAAATTAATTTCGCAAAGTAAATCACATGTTTTTGACTATTAGTAGATTTTGTTGACCCAATACATAATTTTGTTTATTAAACACAAAAAACGAGTATGTTGCGTTTCAGTGCAATCGATTTGTAAAAAAGTTATCGTACATAGTATCCAGATGCAATTGTATTGAAAGGATTTTGCTTTTTATTAAAAATATTCAAGACATTGTTTGTAATATATGTATGTCTATGTTCTGATTCAATTCCATTCTTGCTTAAATAATATAAAAATAGATACAAGAATAAGCCTTTAGGAAATGGCTTTCATAAAAGTCTATTTTAGTAGGATAACTTGTCTTATCGCCAAGATTTAGTAAGAAATCTTTAATATTTTACTGTAACGTCCTACACAATTTTAACTTAGACTTCACCGCACTTTTCGAAGAAATTATAAACAAGCAGCAAAACTTATTATAGGTTGTGGAATGTACCCAAAATATTAAAACCATTTTTATTTTAGTGCCATTAGCCATTAGCCCTTTAGCCACTACTACCTCTCATCTTAATAATTTAAATATGAGAATATGCAATGTAAGTAAGTATCTTTTTAAACAGGTAATGTGAGGTTAAAATAATTAGAACACTCCTTTTACAGTTTATTACAACTATACAGGTTCAAAGCACCCTTGACCCGATTTCCAGAATCAATGATACGTAATACGCATTCTGGTTATTAACATTTTAATTAAACTCTTTCAAACCTTTTCATATAAAGGCTGGTAACTAAGATAAAGATTAATTATTACACCTACGGATGCATATTATGTTAGCACTCATATGTATTTTTGTAGTAGAAAATATTTTGTTTTATCTTCTTCGAAAAGGAGTGAAGAAAGGAAAGAGGGAGAAAACACAAGGTCATAGTGACAAGACTATGATCTTAAAATAATTGTATAGTGTAAGAAAAAGGATAATTATAATCTAATACTAAGGTTATTTCAGAAGAATGTATGAAGATTAAAAGACAGCAATTACGTTTGTTATGATCTTTATTTATAAATTATCTATGAAAATTTACTTTTTTATGGTTTTTCATAATGTTCCCACTCTTTACCATTCTTAAATATTTCGTTTAATAATACTCACCACTTTTTGACATTCCTATTAACTAATTACATATCTTAATACACTTCAATTTTGAATGAGTAATTGTAACTATTTTATAATTAATTAATTAATTTAATTCTCATTTTCGTTATTTCTGTGATTAATTATATTTTCAAAAAAGACCCGTTGTTACTCGTTAACTTTAATTAGTCTTATTTTTTTGGATTTCTTGTTGCAAATCAATATATAAAATCGTTTACTCCAGCGACTATTATTAGAAAACGTTCACCTGCTAGTTATTTGATACGTCAATGCTTTGTTCACATTCCAGTAATCATGAAAATGTTTGTAATAAAACTAATAGGAAATAGGTCAGATGAGAGGACGTTGAAAGTCATTTAAATAAACGGTTGTTTTGGATTCAATATTAAGAAATATTAATAGTAAATCAAACGAAAAGAAGCCAAAAGAAGCTGATACAAGTAAAGATTAATTTGGGTGTATAAAATTTTTCATCAACCAAATTTTTTAATACCCACATTTACATTATTTTGTATTACCTTAAGGCGTATACGTAGTCTTCATTAGTCCTTCCGACAGTTATTTGATGTTGTTAGAATTATTAGTCATATGTATAAAAGCAAGTGGTCATATAATAATTATATAGGTTATCATAAACTGACGAAGATATGGATTGTAAAATAAATTTAGAAAAGGTAAGGGCTAAAAGTAAATCTAAATTTAACATGTCGTATTCGTAATACATTATTTTTTTGTTACCGATTTATTTGCCTTTGGACACTTGATTCACAAATTGAGAACACATTGTGCTCGTTAGAACTTGATTAATTACTGCTAGATATATCTTTACAAAATTGCTCTTTAATATCTAGTTCTCGATTGTGTTTAATAATAATTTTTATATCTACAAAATTGAGATATGAATTATGAGATGCTTATCTGTTTAGTGTATTCATAATGTGTCTATTCTTCAGCAGCTTCTTGCACCCTACATGCATTTGACGCAAGTTAAAAGCAAGCAGTTTCGGAATAAAATCGTATTGGCTTTCAATCACTGGTTTAAGGTCCCAGACGATCTAGTCCAAAAGGCACTCAATGCGATGACAATGACACATAACGCAAGTTTATTGTTAGTTTTCTATTACTCTAATATTAAAAAATAACTGTATATACTAATTATTTTATTAAAATCAATGTTTTATCAATATAAGATATGTTTTCCACTTCATGATCATCGACTATTTTCTTTATATTAATAAAAATAGATAAAAATTGTAAAATCGGTTATCTATCAGTCAATATCAATTAAAATTTGTTTAAGGATCGATGACATTCAAGATAATTCAATAAAACGTCGAGGTATTCACGCTGCTCATTGTATTTATGGGATACCATTAACTATTAATACAGCACTTCATGTTTTGGTTCTGGCTCTGAAAGAAGAATTAGACCTCGTACCAGCAGCATTGGTATAATTATCAAACTAAGTATAGATATATTAAAGATGATATAAATGTATACTAAAGAATTTCATCTTTTTACGCAGGGTGGTAACATATTTGTTGAGCACGTCCTGGATGTGATTTATGGCCAAGGTGTTGAAATTTACTGGAGAGACAACTTTCTGTGTCCGACTGAAGCAGAGTATAAAGAAATGGTTCAGCAAAGTAAATTGAAGTTTTATGTGCATTTTTAACTATGACTCAACGAAAGGATTTAGAAGAAATGGATATTTTGTGAAAGAAAACGTTCTAAAATAATAATGTTTTTTTTTAGAAACTGGTGCCATGCTTTTATATGGAGTGAAATTAATACAAGTTTTAAGTGATGACAGAAGAAATTACGATGATTTTGTTAAACTTCTTGGTTTTTATTTCCAACTGAGGGACGACTACTGCAATTTGAAACAAATAGAAGTAAACACTTTTTTATTTATATGTCTATTATATTTTATATACTAATTTCCCATTACTTTTAGGCATTAGAGGAATACCCCGGAGAAGAAGATGTAAGTGTATGTGTCTCAAATTGAACATGTTTAATTGTGAAAAATGTTCTATAACTCAAATATTGTTTGAATTAGGTAAATAAGGAGATGGATTTTTGTGAGGATATAACAGAGGGTAAATTTAGTTTGCCTATAATACATGCGATGAAGACACCACAGGGACCAAAAATTTTAAGTATCCTTTTTAAACATATAAATAAGAATAATTTTAATGAGATTCATTGTGCTTATTGACACTCAAAAATAGATATTAATGCAAACAAACTATAGTTTTCTGATCTCACAAAGGCATACTGCGGCAACGAACTCGTGATATAGAGGTGAAGAAATACTGCCTTTCATTGATAGAAAAGTCTGGTAGTCTAGAATATACAAGAGACTTGCTGTCTGAGTTGGATCGAGAGGCGAGGAAAGAGGTAATCTATGCATTAATTCATATAAATTCATCGAAATTGTTCCAATTTGAAGTCAGTATATATTTATTATTATTAATAATTTATTTAATAAATATTAATACATAAATTGTTATTAAAAAGAATACATAAATTGGCTGACAATGATATAATTAATTAATTAATTTAATAATTAGCTAAGATGAGCTCTAAGACTTACTACTATTCATTTCAATGAAACTAATTTATTCTGATTACTACACTTTATTTTATTCCTTTTAAAAACAACATACTCCCAACGTTTCGGATACTTTGTGGTATCGGAAACGTAAATATTAGTTTCTTTTTATTCTGTCTATCTGTCTGTCTGTTACGCTTTCACGCCTAAACCACTGAACTGATTTTAATGAAATTTGGTACACAGATAGAGCTGACCTTGAGAAAGAACATAGAAAGTTTTTATCCCAAAATTTTGAAAGGTTCTCTTGGAAACGCGATATAACTGAACCCCGCGCGGGCGAAGCTGCGGGCGGAAAGCTAGTAGTCCATAAACATAAAAAATACTTGCAGTTATAGATTGAATAATGTACTTTTACAGCTCTTCCGTTTAGGTGGCAACCCTTTAATGGAAGACGTCTTGGACGGACTATTAAGTTGGAAAGGTTCCGAAAATATTTAATATAGTTTTTTTTTGAAATATGGAATGTATTTGTAATGTTCTAATATGTTATTTATTTATTCAGCTTGTTTTAAAAATAATAAAAATGTTACGTTTTTAACTGTTTTTTGTATTTTAGAGCCTTAATATACTCATAGATTTGGTGGCCATTTTTGCAATGAATATCATGGCATACTCAATATTTATGGCAGATTTTTATGAAATTTACAATTTTTATTCTATAAGAACCAAATTTATTTACCATTTATCTAAGTCTAGTAAACAATAATGTTACTATTTAATCTATATTTATAAAAATGAATCCTTTTTTCCATTGGTCACGGCATCACGCGTGAATGGCTAGACCGATTTCATTAATTCTATTTTATTGTATTTATTGTCATTAGAAGAAAGTTCTTATGTAAGAAAAAATACGAAAATTACTAGAAAATAAAATACTACAATATTTCACTTTTTAAATAAAATAATGTGTCACTGGCAGTAATATTCACTTAGTTGTCATTAAAAAAAGATAAAATAAAAACAAATTGATATCCTCTTTACAAATATGTATTTCGGTTGGAGTTGGTCTGTGGCCGGAGTTATAATAACAAAATATCTACATAATTCATTTACCATCCCTTAGTGTACTTTTCACATTGGTTTCTACAGGATAATTTGTAGTGTGTGTAACACATATTTCTTGATTATAGGGCGGGATGAAGTTCGCCGGGTCAGCTAGTATTAAATTAAAATTATACATATCTTATATATAATGTATTTTGATTGATTAAGGTTAATGTTGTTATAATACTTCCTTGCATGTTATTAATAAAAACAAGATTATATCTCATTGGCATTAAAATGGCCTTGTATAAAAGTAAGATAAATAAATTCGCAATAACTAAGTATAGATCTTTTCCTTATCGCTGTGATCAGAGCTAGATTTAACAGAAACAATGTTTTTCAATTAATTCTGTTAGTTTTTAATATCTCAGGAGTTTATTGACAGTACGGCAAAAGAGGAATATCGAATCCACTTATTCGCCTAGTAAGAGAGTAAGGCAATTTGCTGAATTTTGGCCAGTTTTATAGTATAAAGCCACAATAAAATTTATAATGATGATGATGTTGTAATTATTGTTAAATAAATTAAATTTATCTCAATTTTGAGCTTTGCTACCCCAATATAACTATTGCAATATTGTAATGTATTTATTATATTTCTTTCTTTCTGTCACTATTCTGGGATCGACCTGTTTTGGGCAACAATAAAATTATTTCTACTAAAAAGTCATTATAATTTGACCCAACCAAAAGGTTATATACCAAAATGTTTCTGTAAGGCTAGTAGTAGATCTTTAATTTATGGTTGGCTGTTTTTAATTTGGCCTTTATCAGTGCAAATATGTGAACAGTATATTCTACCAGTATCGTGTAGAATAGAGAAGACACGATCCGGGATAAATGTATGAAATAAAATTTAACAGCCTCGACTGAAGCAACAATTAGGAACTTTGTTAATAGGTCTTAACTCTAAAACAACACAAATTCAGTAAGATGCAAACATAGCAGACGTAAATATAAAATAAAGTGCAAGACGTAAATCTAAAGTGCGTATTTTAAAAGACTTAGAACACCATTAACTACTTATATTGAAATTAGTAGGTATACTAGCAAAAAAATACAAAATTATTCTTCATTCTGTTCTCAATTTAAAATGTTTCTGACATAGACATTTCAATATCAAATTGTAATTAAATTAACTTTTTTATTACGGCTATTACAATGTAAGGGGACGAGGTAAACAACTCGTTCTTGGTTTTAAATAAGACTTAGACTTAGTTAAGATAAAATCTCTACTCACGGATAAAGTAAATGTAAAATTTAAATACATTAAAGAACAAAATGCTTTGTAGATGAATGTATGAATCATTAGTTACCTACTTTCTCGTATCATAATACAATGTTATATTTATTCATGAAGTTATTAATCTTTTGTTAAGATTTTGCCATCATAATGACTCTTTACACCTTATAAAGATTAACTAAATGAGAAAAATTAATAGATCAGTAACCGAAATGTAATAAAAAAATTACTTTAATATATAAAACTTTAAATATATACCGAGAATTGCTTTTAATACGTATAGGTATTTTTTTAATTTATTTATGCAATTATTTAAATGTCACTTGACAGATAAAATAAGTGTTTATTTTAATTATTTTTTTTATATTTTGAAGTTTCCTCTTTCCTTTTATTTAAAACCAATATAAGCTTGAATTCTTGTCGAGACAGATGTATGATTTTTTGTTTAATTAATAACTATATTGCTTTTTTCATTAAGTTGTATTTGGTTCCCAACAATAAAACGATACGTATTCCATAAATTATTTTTCTGATCAATTAATAAAATACACAAGGATGATTTAAAATAACCTATAAATTTATTTAATATACCTTAAATTGAAATAATAATTTAAATTTAAATAATAATTAAAATACAAAAACGACACAACATAAGAATATAAAAAATATTTACGTTCGAATCATTTTCCAGTGTTCCAACTCATTAAGCCGTCTAACGCTTTTTCCAAATTCGGATTCCCTCCCAAATTTGCAAGCTGAAATAAAATTCCTTATTATTATATGATAAGAATTAATATAATTTTACGTCATAACACATAAAGCAATAATATTTTTTCTAAAGTTTCAATATATTTGTACACTCTTCATAACATTATTTAATGAAGCAATTTTTGTTTATTGTGTTATGTGTGAGTTTTATGATTGTCTACTATACCTCAGCTCGCACTTCCTTGTCCATCTTCATCAAAAGATCCCTAGTATACTGCATTCCTCCAGACTTCTCCAGCAGAGACAAACAATACTTCTTCAGTTCCAGATCTCTGGTGTGTTGACGCATTATGCCTTTATTTGCTCAGAAAATTATATGTGAAAATTGCGCACATCTTCATTTGTTGATTATTTCATATAAAGCAGTGTACACGACCAACCGATGTGCTATAAATTTTTGTTCAAGATTTTTAAAAAGGATACTTAAGACTTGCGGTCCTTCTGGAGTCTTCATGGCGTATATCGCAGGCAACGTGAACTTGCCCTCTGTTATATCTTCTAAGATATACCCATCTTTGTCAGCCTAAAACCACAATATTAATTTATAACTTTGAACAATGTAAGACATATAAATTTAATTTTATTGAAAATACTAACATTGACGTCTTCCTCTCCTGGCATTTCTTCTAAATCCTGAAAGTAGGAAATATATCAATTACTCCACAAAAACAATTCTTTCTTGAAATTAAATTATATGCTCGTAGCATAGGTTATGGTGGTTAATATGTACTAATATATGATCAAGGCGTACCTTCTCATGTCCCATATTGCAATAGTCATCCCTTAGTTGGAGATAAAGCCCAAGTTTCATAACAAAATCGTCGTAATTTGTCTTATTTTCACTGAACAGCTGGATCAATTTTACTCCAAGTAAAAGCATAGCACCAGTTTCTGGAACAATGATCAAGTAAATATGTGAAGCAATAGCAGGATTGTATCAGTTCTTAAAACGTTGTTTGTCCTTTATGGGTATAATTTTTCATGAAAATTCATGAACAAAAACACTTTTTTTGTTTCGTTATCAGAATTTGTGTCACAATGATTAAAAAGTAAAATTTGAGTTAAAGATCTACGGAATTTCGTAAAATATAAACAATTATGCTGGATAAATTATCCTAGAAAACGGCGATGCTTACGTACAGAGAATTCCAGTTTTGAATATATAAATACTTAAACATGAATATAAACACGAATTAAGTTTTGTAATTATGCGTAGATTAAAACAATAATTACAATAAATTGTAGTAAAGCGTAGTAAGGTACATACTAGTACTATAACATTTTATGTTATAATAAAAAGGTGTAGAAAATAACTATAATATTTATCACTTACTTAGAGAAAGCATCTTAAGATATGTCTTCTCATCAGGACAAACGCAATTGTCACGCCAGTAGATCTCATAGCCCTGGCCGGTAAGGGCATCTATAAACTGCCTTGCGATTATTTCGGCTCCCTAAAATTATAAATAAAATTGTATTTTATTTATTAAATGAAAACAGTATGTAATTACAATCTTTAATTTATTTATATGTATGTTTGTATTTTCAAACTTACTTCTCTGCTGGGTACGAGTTCCGAGGCTTTAAGAACAGCCTTCATCGCTATTTGTGCGCTAGCGTTTAATGCTAACGCAACTCCATATACACAATGAGCTGAAGGTAGTCCTCGCCTGGTTAGAGAATTGTCTTGGACGTCATCAAGCCTAAAAATTTATTTCATATAATATATGATGGCTTTTGAAATAATTTTTATATCTGACGATATAAAAAAACACTTTAGCTGGAGATTAATCTCTTTTGCTATGATATCGAGTCCGTGGAGAAAAGAAAAATATATGGAACAGAAAAATAAAATCTTTTAGATACTTACAGTAAACTGGCATTGTGCAGCATTGTCATGGTATCGATTGCATTATTTAGTTGAATATCAGGGACCTTGAGCCAATAGTTGAAGGATCTCACTAATTGTTGTCGAAGTTCCTTTCCCCGAATTTGTATGAGGTGGGTATAGGGAGCTAAGATTTCCTAAAATTAATAGGATTATTATTATATGAAGCAAAATATTGTATTTATATTCAATATTTGAGTTTCAATAAGCCATTTCAATATAATAAATGCTTTTCATTTTACGTTAACAATAACACACATAAATATAATTTTATTTTCTAAAAATGTAAGTAAAAAAATTTACAACTAATATTTAGGTCATAAGAACTAAAATAAACGAATAACTACAGTAGGTACTAATAAAACCAATAACTAACTTATTACTAAAATTTTACTGTACATCATTAATAATAATCTACGTAAATATGTTGTTATTTGAAATGTTATATAAATTGATTAATGTTTTAAAACAGAATAAAATTTAAAGAGAAGGTAGATAATATGAACAGGTACTCACTTCATCCAAATTTAATTGTTCCTTCTTAATTTTATTGGCCATTTTGAATATTAACCATTAATAACTTATCGGTGTGAATGCTAAATGAGTAATAGCTTAAGGTATGACAAGCAACAACTTATATATGAAGGTAATTTATACGTCAGGCCATACACTGACAGATAATGATTTTTGTATTATAATTTTATAAAATTTAGATTGCTGTTTTTGAAAATGCACATTATGAGTTCTAATTGTTCATAATTCAGTGTTGTTTTATTTACATTACATAGAAATAAATATTTCATTTTAGCAAAACATTATATTATACATAGTAAGTATTCTCTGCCTCTCGACTGGTAAGACGATACTAACATGCACGGGATATACCCTTTGAGCTCCCGTTTACCTAGTAACTATGTTTATTTACGCCTTTACGATGAAAAAATGTTTGGAATATAAAAAATGACCCTTTGGTGGGAAAAAAATATTATACGCCCTAGAGAAGAATGAGAAGGATATTCTAACTCAAGAAATATTGTCAATCGAGGGTCCTGCTTTTTTCCCGTACGTAATTGTATATGTACTACGATGGTTCAAAACGTGACGGCTTATAATCGTACAAGGATTACAATAGCCGTCCCGTTTTAACAGTGCGTATTATCAGATCACTTTCATCATAGTGTTTGCTACAATCCTTGTTTTACCTTTACATCGAGTCATAGGCACAATATGTATAGAATATACTATACATATGAATATCGTGTAACTTTTAAAACATGCTTTAAATAACTATTAAAGAAAAATACAGCATTATCCTAAAGGTGGCATTTCACTTGGAGTTTATTTGTTGTGTTCGGCCAAATAAAGCCATGTGTTGGGGATTTAATCGTCTTCATTTGACATATTTGCATAAATAAGACACAAACAAAAATAAGCGATAACGTCGAGCCTTATCCTTTGGCATTATTTGCTGTTGGCATGACAAGTGTGGATGTCGTGTTTGCGCTATTTGGACAAATGCGGCGAATATAATACGCGAATACGCAACGCCCAGTGAAGTACCGTCTTAACAGATTATAAAATATGTCAATTTTAAATTTTATACAGCGTTTTTTTTTTCGAAATGTTTTATGTATAGCGAATAATCTGTTGTCAATATTTTTAAGAGTAAGTACCGAATATTATATGACACTAATATCATAACAAATCATAAATCCGATAATATTTACAAGGGCCGAGCTTACCTTATTTTACATACAACTTTCATTTGTAAAACGTCTGTTGGGCTAAAAGAGATTCTATTCTATAGTTATTAATCACTAATCGGAATCATCATCAAGGTATTGATTCAAGGTATGTGATTACTTCTTCTTTCTGGCAATTTTCCAGCTTCAGCCAGGGTCTGCCAAATGTATGTATGTGATTACACTTATTACAGAATGTTAAAGGAAAATATAATTGACAAAATAAATGTATTTACGTGGTCCCAGGGTCCAAAAATCCCAATGTTTAAACTTATAAGTTATACATGTATTTTCTCTCATAAACATATAAATAAGATGACGTTCTTGTTAAAAAAAACTTGCAATTTTTACTCATAGGGATAATGCAAAGACTGCACGGTAAAAGTTATACAAAATTTAAGTATTTTTTCAACCATTAAGGGTTTTATTTATAATAACCAAACCTTCTTTTTATATAAATTTCAATCGTTCTGGAAAGCGAAAGAAAGTGTTATTCTGTTCTCCTGTTATTTTTCACTCCTTTTTACCTTTATTTGAAAAGTCTTTATTTTGAGTAAAAATTATATTTTACACAGAAAAACCAACACCTCAATCTTTCTAATCAAGTTTTCTTAGTAAATATAAAACAGCCACAGATCTACTAACAATATTTGAACCACCATTAATGGGAATCAATAAATAAATTGTACTAAATAATATGTACTTTGCTTAAATGTTTTCGTTAAAACTTGACCTACGCCAGCATATTTATTCTTATAGCATGTGTTTTGATGTGACTAATCGTAATTTAATTGTGTCTCCCAAAAAAATTTTCTATCAGTGTAATGTAATTAGTGTATTGTAATATTAAATATATAAAAAATCATTAAAGCCATATTATTTACTGAAGCCAATTATTAATATGACTTGCAACATTAAAAAATGTTTCTCCGTTTTTTGTCGAAATTCGATGTAAATTGTAAAAAACTCGCGATACATTTATGATTGTCAGCGTATATTATGTCTTGCCCCTATTATCTTCTATCTTTTTTGCAGCGTAAGAATCCCCCGCTAAAAACACTAACTATCTTTTGAAGCAGTTCATGAAGCGACCAAATTGTCATCTTTTGCATAAGATGTTAAGTGCTGGTCAGCTGGATCGCGTGCCATTGATCTAAACAAGTGAAAGTCTGAAGTAGTAAGGTCTGGAGAATAGGGCAGGTGGGATTGAACCTATTTCTCTGTTTCCAAGCAAATAAACCTACACCTGGGTCGCCAGTCCCAGAAACTGTTGCAGCACCTCCCTCTGAAACGCAATGGACCCGATACCCGCACTCACTTTATGATATCTTTCGGTGTATTATCGCCATTTGTGTTTCAAACACAAGAACTTTGTTCGGCTGTAATGTGAGATAATGGTTAGAAGTAAAAAAGAATCAAAGACTATTTAAAAAGGAGAATAGAACTATGTTGGAATTTTAATATAAATACGACGTCTGGACGCACTACAGCAGAGTTCAATGAGTGTGGACTGTTGAATAATGTGATTGTTAAAAACCTTCGAGAAATACAAGAACATTTAAAAGAATTGAAGTTTCATTTTAAAATACCATGGAACGTACTCAAAGAAGTTATATTAATAACGTGGGCAATGCTGGCGTCTTTCCTTTAAAAACAACGAATTTTGTATTAAATGTGATATATATTATTCTTATAAAACTTCAATTAGATCTATAGTGGTTATAATTTTTCCACTTTCAAGTCTTTCGTCTCGCTTTGCCGAATATAAGACTTTTATATACTTATTTCATCGTAATCCTACGCTGTTACTTTGTGCTCCTATCATAAGCTTTTCATGGAAATGAAGTATTAACTCTAGTTCTGGGTCATCTTTGTTTCTTTAGTCACATATTTATCATATCCTTATGAACCTAACTAAAGAAACTCATATCACCATAATCAATATAAATCTTCTATTTATTCTATTTTTTTAAAACCTTTGATAAGCAGGCAGACCAAAGCTCACTTTTTCAAGATGGTAAGTTACTGACACGAAGTTATTTCGATTGAATTCTTAATTTACACAACATAAAAATATATACATAAAATATATATGCCAATCAGCCATGAGAATATACGTGAAGAAGGTAACGTTTTTACGTACCTTGATCACCTGATATCTGGAAATTGGTCGTTTGACCAAGCTAGCAGGTAGCCATATTATCATAGTACATACTATCACTACTCAATCGTCCACTTTTCATCCGCCAGAAAATACGTGACGTCTGGGATCTTACTGTATTATGGCTAAGTGAAGAGCAATTTTCCCTCAGGTGCATTGAAAAATAGTATTCTTCCTTCTCAGGATTTGTAATGAGGCTCTTAATTGGTTTAAAATTATTGAGATCGATCATAGATGTAAGCATTGTAACAGATTAGAAACAGAATAGCTAGAAGATTGAAACGCTTCAAAAGATCTATCAGGTTTTTAAATATAATGCATAATTTATTAGCTAACAAAGCAACTATTAATACCTAAAATATATAAGATTAAAAAATGTTTTCCTGTATGTTCAAACAGTGCGTTGTGCTATTTATAGGAGGCGCACAAGCAACTACGTAAACAGTCATTATGAATCATATTAGTAAGTATTATATCAAAAGATTAATTAATAGGCGCTCTTGTCATTAAATTAACGATAAACAACTATGTTATTGCTTCAGTTTATTTTTTTAGTGTGCTGTATTTATTCGGCTTTATTTATATAAAAAAAAACAGAGTTTTGACTTAAATAACTTTTGGCATTTCTATAAATATAGTTTTATAATCATTTTCAATTAAATTAAACATTTTCAATTAATTTATAAATTCATAATTCAATTAAACATTTTCAATTTAATAATAAAACTCAATTTAAAATTATTATATTTACCATTTTTTATAGTTATTTATTGATTCACGGTTCCAAAGTTGCCTTGAACAAAACAGAAAGTTTTTTGAACAATCCTTTCCTGGGATTCATAAAGTAAAATTACACTTTTTTTTGCTTTTTTGTGTTCATTGAACTAACCTACCAAATAAATCAAAGAAAAGAGAAAGGAATATTATTAAAATACATCAGAATGATGATTTATTAATGCTTCTAAAATAATATAACGAAATGAATACAGGATATTTAACATTTTCTAAAGTTTTACTTATTTTGTATACGTACGTAAGAATCATTTTTCACTCTTCCAACCCATTAAACCATCCAATACCTTCTCCAAAACAGGATTACCGCCTAATGTTGCAAGCTGCAATGAATATGAATGCGTTAATATCATAAAATAGGCCAAGTTATTACGTAACGGTACATTCAAATAGTTCAAATATTTTAATTCTTGACGGATATTTAAGATTAAATATATTTCTTAATAATTATTTTTGTAGGTATGGCAAGTTTAAATTATTTCTCTACTATACCTCAGCTCGCACTTCCTTGTCCATCTTCATCAAAAGATCCCTAGTATACTGCATACCTCCAGACTTCTCCAGCAGAGACAAACAATACTTCTTCAGTTCCAGATCTCTGGTGTGTTGACGCATTATGCCTTTATTAGCTCAGAAAATTATATGTGAAAATCACGGACATATTAGTGGTAGATTATTTCATATAAACCAGTCTTCACTACAACTCGATGTGTTATATTTGTGCCTAAAATGTTAAAAAGGATACTTAAGACTTGCGGTCCTTCTGGAGTCTTCATGGCATATATAGCAGGCAACGTGAACTTGCCCTCTGTTATATCTTCTAAGATATACCCATCTTTGTCAGCCTAAAACCACAATATTAATTTATAACTTTGAACAATGTAAGACATATAAATTTGATTTTATTGAAAATACTAACATTGACGTCTTCCTCTCCTGGCATTTCTTCTAAATCCTGAAAATAGGAAATATATCAATTACCCACAAAAAATTCTCTCTTGAAATTAAATTATATGCTCATAGCGTCGGTTATTATGGTTAATATGTACTAATATATGATTAAGGCGTACCTTCTCATGTCCCATATTGCAATAGTCATCCCTTAGTTGGAGATAAAGCCCAAGTTTCATAACAAAGTCGTCGTACTTTGTCTGATTTTCACTGAACAGCTGGATCAATTTTACGCCAATCAAAAGCATGGTACCAGTTTCTGGAATAATAAATAAATTTTATTATTTAAGTGATAATAATATTTTTCTTATTCATCACACTTAGTTCAACGTTACATTTTTCATACTGAGGACTGTTTTTAAATTTTATATAAATGAAGCATTTTTTGTTTGTTACGTTTGTGAATTTTAGGTACACATTAGTTTTATTTTTGACATTAAAGTTTTTATAATATCATGAAATTTGTAGTTACAGTCGAAACACGAAATAGCAGAAGTGTAAACAATTATTTTCAATTAATTATCTTGCTGTTTTTATAAACACCAAAAATTTTACAATAATATTTATCACTTACTGAGAGTAAGCATCTTAAGATATGTCTTCTCATCAGGACAGACGCAATTGTCACGCCAGTAGATCTCATAGCCCTGGCCGGTAAGGGTATCTATAAACTGCTTTGCCATTATTTCAGCTCCCTACAATTTTAAATAAAATAACGTCACCTTTAATTATTATTGGAAACAGTAATGTCAATTTGTTTATATGTTTGTATTTTTAAACATACTTCTCTGCTGGGTACGAGTTCCGAGGCTTTAAGAACAGCCTTCATCGCTATTTGAGCGCTAGCGTTTAAAGCTAACGCAACTCCATATACACAATGAGCTGAAGGTAGTCCTCGCCTGGTTAGAGTATTATCTTGGACGTCATCAATTCTACAAAATACATCCACCTTATTAAAGTAATAATGTTAACTCAACAATATTTATATATAAATAAAAAATGTAATCACTACTACACACTACTACATCACATTGAGTTGATAAACTGATAAATAGACGAAGGAAAAAAATATAAAAACACTTTTGTCGACTTACAGTAAACTGGCATTGTGCAGCATTGTCATGGTATCGATTGCATTTTTAAGTTGAATATCAGGGACCTTGAGCCAGTAGTTGAAGGATCTCACTAATTGTTCTCTAAGTTGCTTTCCCCGAATTTGAATGACGTGGGTATAGGGAGCTAAGATTTCCTAAAATCAATAGGTAAATTATTCTATAAAGCGAAATAAGGTACTTATATTCAATATTTCAGGTTCAAAAAGCCATTTCAATAATAACAAATGCTTTTCATTTTATCTTAAAAATAAAACACATGAAGTATAAAATGTATAACCAATTATTAGGTTTTATATTAATGACTTACATTTTACTTTACATCATATACATATAATATACGTATACATGTTAAAATTTGAAATGATGTATTAATTTACTATGTATTAAAACAGAATAAAAATGATAGAGAAGGTAGATAATATGATCAGGTATGTACTTACTTCATCTAAATTCAAGTGCTCCTTGTTGATTTGGTTGGTCATTTTGAATATTAATTTTTAATAACTTATCGGTGTGAATGCTAAATGAGTAATAACTTAAGGAACGACAAGCAACAACTTATATATGAAGGTAATTTATACGTCAGGCCATACATTGGCAGATAATGATTTTTGTTTTATAATTTTATAAAGTTTAGATTGCTGTTTTTACAATGCTTATTATGTGTTCTAATGGTTCTTAATTCAGTGTAGTTTTATTACATTACAACGAATAAATATTTCATCAAAATAAATACATAATATAATTTATAGAAAGTATTTTTTGACTCTCGACTGATAAGACGATACTAACATGCACCACATATAACTTTCAGCTCCCGGTTACCTAGTAACTACATATGTTTATTTACGCGTCACGCGATCTCTTTAAAACCATTCTTATCGTCATAATGTTTTGCCATCCTTGTTTTACACGTACATCGAGTCATAGGCACAATATGTATAGTATATACTATACGTATGAATATCGTGTAATTTTTAAAAGTGCTTTAAATAATTATTAAAGAAAAAATATAGCATTACGTATTAACAGGTTATAATATATATATGTACATTGTACATTTTGTACGCCCTTTTTATATGTGAAATGTTCAATTAGTTGTGAATAATCTGATGTCAACATTTTTAAGAGAAAGTACCGAATATTAGGATAAATAATTTAAATTATTGTCTTTAGTGTTGCCCACTTACATTAAATTATTGTAAACATCTGTTAAGCTGAAAGAGATTCTATTCTGTGGTTATTATTCACTAATCGGATACATCGTCAAGGTATTTATGTGATTACGATACACGTATTACAGAATGTTAAAGAAAAATATAATTTACAAAATAAATGTATTTACGTAGACCCAAAGTCCAAAGATCCCAATGATTATTATACTTTTATAAGTATTATCATTGTTATACATGTATTTTCTTTCATAAACACATAAATAAATAACTCATAGGGATGATGCAAAAGACTGTTCGATAAAAGTTATACAAAATTTAAGTATTTTTTCAACCCTTAAGGGTTTTATTTATTACTAGCTTTTGCCGCGACTCCGTCCGCGTGGAATAGTGACTTAAAGCAGATTTTTGGTTCTTCCCACATAGTTCCCGTTCTTGTGGGGTTTTCGGAATGGTTGAGTTCCCGTAGAATTTTCAGGATAAAACCTATGTTTTTTTTATTCACAATGAAGTACTCTTAACCAACAACATATTTGTTTATTTGAATATTATTATGTTGATACAACTTAATCAAATTATTTCGACCAAATTAGGTACCATAAAAACGGTTTTTGTGAGTTAATCTTAAAAGATAGACATATACTGTCGCGGACTGTTTTTTAGATCATTAAAAGAGCTATTATTCTTTACTACATATTTTTTGTTTATCTTAAACCGTTTTCACGGCGCACGCAACGGAAGGCTTCAAAGATGAAATAATTTCTCCCGTTTTTTACACATTTACCACTATATCTTTGCTCCTATTGGTTGTAGCGTGATGTTGTATAGCCTAAAGCCTTCCTCGATAACTGGACTATCCAACACAAAAAAAATTATTCAATTCGAACCAGTAGTTTCGGAGATTAGCGCTTTTAAACAAACAAACAAACAAACTCTTCAGCTTTATAATATTAGTATAGATAACCAAAACTTCATTTTTATACAATTTTCAATAGTTTTGGTAAGTGGCCCGTGTTATTCTGTTCTATAATAACTTCATTACAAACTTCCACTCCTTTTAACCTATAATTGAAAATGCTTTATTTACAGCTATCAGTGTATATGTTAAATTTATTTTAAAAAAATCATTAAAATCATATTATTTTCTACAGCTCCTTGTTAATATGAATTGCAACATTATAAAATGTTTCCTCCGGTTTTTTTCAAAATTCAATGCAAATTGTAAAAAACTCGCCGTACATTTATGATTGTCAGTGTGTTACAGCGTGTCCTTATTTTCTCCTATCTATTGGGTACAGTAAAAATCCCCGCTCAAAAAACTAACTGTCATTTTATGTTTTCCATGAAGAGACCAAAATGTCAACCTTTTCGTAAGTGTTTTTCGTAAATTTTAAGTGCTGGTCAGCTAGACCGCGTCCCATTGATCTAAACAAGTGACAGTCTGAAACAGTAAGGTCTGGAGAATAGGGCAGGTAGGATTGGACTTCCTTTTTCTATGTTTCCAAGCATGTCTTGACCAGTTTTACAACATGGGGTTAAGCATCGCTTGGCTACGAAGACCTTATGCTAGAAATACAAGATCGTTGCAATCGGCAGAAAAATATCGTACTTGCGGGTATACCTGAATTAAACGATAAAAATTCTCAAAATAGAAATAAATATGATATGGAAGAAGTAGTTAAAATTATTACAAGCGTTTATGAAAACTGCCCAAAACCAAATAAAATTTTTCGACTAGGCAAATACACCCCGGGTAAAACCGCAACATAAAGGTATGTTTTGATAGTCAGGACACTGCGAACTGTATATTAAGAAACCGTACATTAACGACAAACAAAAGTATTCGTATTTTTTGGGATCAAACTCCGACTCAATTTAAATATTTACAAAATTTAAAGAATGAGCTTGAGGCGCGTAAGCAAAATGGTGAGTCCGACTTAAGGATAAAATATTTTAACGGAATACCAAAAATTACAAAATTTATTCCAAAAAACGCCAAATAGTGGCTTTAACACCACCACGAAATGAACCAGTCACTTACCAGATTACTCATGAATCATGATTATGGCTCGGTTACAATGACCTCCTCTTCTTTAAAATTCTTTTATGCGAATATTAGAAGTTTAGTCAAATTAGGCAAAATTGACGAATTATAATGCATCATTAAAAAAAATATATACATAAATTACAAATACCTAAGTCTAGATCTGAACATTGTGGTAACGGGACTATACAGTTTGAGGGAGCGCTGATGTACAGTGATCTGCCGAAAGAAGTATTTAACGATAAATCTTTTTTTGAAATTTAAGGCTGAATGAAAACGTACTGTCAAACTTTGTAATTGTGTTTGAATGTTTGTATAAATAAGGTCACCATTAACTTTATGAATGTTTATTGTTATGTTGCTAGTTTAAGTTTCCTATGTAAGTGAACTTTGTTCTTAATGGGAAATAAATCATCTCTAAACCTAAACCTAAGCATTGTTATACAAAATCCCAGAGAATATTTTGTGCATCGGCCTCCAGACCAGACATATTTTTTATGTATCCGCGAATTTTAAAGCGTGTTGCATTAAAGGAGCTAAATGTCCCTTTTAAAACCAACATCCCCAGAGATCATGGCATCAAATCAATAAATATTACGAGCTCACTAACGAACTCACTAGAAATAGGTTCGGTGTGGATTTGTACGCGGCAGATGTCCTCGCGAGAGGTATAATGGCTAAATATCCCAATAACCAACTAAAAGACTTAGGCCTATTAAGAACTCATATCAATTCATTTTTGGATCGTATTTCTAGTAGGTTCTTTTCAAATTTGATAATTTCATAATACCTTTTTTGGAAAATGATGGTGGAGAATTCTAACGTTTTATCATACCCTTTGCTAGCAACATATAAATTGGTCTTTTTCTTTTTTTTACTGCTTCCTCTATTTTACTGCTTCGATGTATTTTTTTGTTTGCTGCATTCATTCTGATTATTAATAAAAAAAGAGTTTTGACTTACATATATAACTTTTTTCATTGCTATAGATTTAGCTTCAGCAATTTATATTAAAATTTGCAACTTGATAATAAAACTCAATTTAAAATTATGATGTGTACCATTTTTTATAGTTATTTACTGATTGATGGTAACAAAGTTGCCTTGATCAAAACAGAAAGTTTTTTGAATAATCCTCTTCTCGGATTCATAAAATAAAAGGACTCATTTTTTTCGCCTTTTTGTCTTCATTGAAGTAACCTTCTAAGTAAAACATACAAAAGAGAAAGGAAGATTATAAAAATATTTCAGAATGATGATTTATTAATGCTTCTAAAATAATATAACGAAATCAATACAGGATATTTAACATTTTCTAAAGTTTTACTTGTTTTATATACGTATATAAGAATCATTTTTCACTCTTCCAACCCATTAATCCATCCAATACCTTCTCCAAAACAGGATTTCCGCCTAATGTGGCAAGCTGCAATTAATATGACTGCGTTAATATCATAAAATAGGCCTATTTATTACCTTACAGTACATTAAAATAGTCAGTGGTTGCACCTAGTGCATAAAAGGACCGCCTCTCGTGCACGAGGGCGCGGGTTCAATCCCGGCAAGTACCAATGTGATTTTTCCGATTCATATGTACTTTTTAAGAGTATTTAGACAACACTGACAAACGGTAAAGGAAAACATCGTGAGGAAACCTGGACTTATAATTTCACAATTAAAAGTTTGAAATCACCAAACCGTCTTGAGCAAGCGTGGTGATTAATGCTCAAACCTTCTCCATGAGAGAAAGAGGCCTTTGCTCAGCTGTGGGCTCTGATAGGCTGATGACGATGACGACATTAAAATAGTTCAAATATTTTTATTCTTGAGACCCCTTAATTGAGATAAATATTTTTTAATTTATATATTTTTTTTGTAGGTATGGCAAGTTTAAATTATTTCTCTACTATACCTCGGCTCGCACTTCCTTGTCCATCTTCATCAAAAGATCCCTAGTATACTGCATACCTCCAGACTTCTCCAGCAGAGACAAACAATACTTCTTCAGTTCCAGATCTCTGGTGTGCTGACGCATTATGCCTTTATTCGCTCAGAAAATTATATGTGAAAATTACGCACAACTTCATTTGTTCATTATTTCATATACAGTATATATCAGTGTACACTACCAACCGATGTGCTATACATTTTTGTTCAAGATTTTTAAAAAGGATACTTAAGACTTGCGGTCCTTCTGGAGTCTTCATGGCATATATCGCAGGCAATGTGAACTTGCCCTCTGTTATATCTTCCAGGATATATCCATCTTTGTCAGCCTAAAACCACAATATTAATTTATAACTTTGAACAATGTAAGACATATAAATTTAATTTTATTGAAAATACTAACATTGACGTCTTCCTCTCCTGGCATTTCTTCTAAATCCTAAAAATAGGAAATAAATCAATTACTCCACAAAAAATCTCTCTTGAAATTAAATTATATGCTCGTAGCGTAGGTTATGTTGGTTAATATGTACTAATATATGATAAAGGCGTACCTTCTCATGTCCCATATTGCAATAGTCATCCCTTAGTTGGAGATAAAGCCCAAGTTTCATAACAAAGTCGTCGTACTTTGTCTTATTTTCACTGAACAGCTGGATCAATTTTACGCCAACCAAAAGCATGGTACCAGTTTCTGGAATAATAAATTAATTTTTTTATTTAAGAGATAATAATATTTTTCTAATCCATCACACTTAGTTCAACGTTACATTTTTCATACTGAGGGACTGTTTTTAAATTATTTTTTTTAACTTTTCGTTGTTACGTTTGTGAATTTTATGTATAATAATATTATATATATAATATATTTGTATACATTAATTATAGTTTAACTTAAGTTTTTATAATTTCATGAAATTTGTAGTCACAGTCGAAACACGAAATAGCAGAAGTATAAACAAATATTTTCAATAAATTATCTTCCTGTTTTTATAAACACCACAATATTGTATCACTTACTGAGAGTAAGCATCTTAAGATATATCTTCTCATCAGGACAGACGCAATTGTCACGCCAGTAGATCTCATAGCCCTGGCCGGTAAGGGCATCTATAAACAGCTTTGCCATTATTTCAGCTCCCTAAAAGTAGAAATTAATTTGTCATCTTTAATTATTGGAAACAGTAATTACTATCTTTAATTTGTTTATATGTTTGTATTTTCAAACTTACTTCTCTGCTGGGTACGAGTTCCGACGCTTTAAGAATAGCCTTCATCGATATTTGTGCGCTAGCGTTTAAAGCTAACGCAACTCCATATACACAATGAGCTGAAGGTAGTCCTCGCCTGGTTAGAGAATTATCTTGGACGTCATCAAGCCTAAAAATACATACACCTAATTAAAGTAATAATGTTAACTTATAATAGGTATATATAAATAAAAAAAATAAATTAGTAGGCAAAAATTAATCACTACTAAAGGGTTGATAAACTGATAAAAAGAAGGAAGACAAAAATATAAAAACACTTCGTTCGACTTACAGTAAACTGGCATTGTGTAGCATTGTCATGGTATCGATCGCGTTTTTAAGTTGAATATCAGGGACCTTGAGCCAATGGTTGAAGGATCTCACTAATTGTTCTCGAAGCTGCTTTCCCCGAATTTGAATGAGGTGGGTATAGGGAGCTAAGATTTCCTAAAATTAATAAAATGATCTGTATAAGATGAAGCTACTGGAGAATATATCTATTTTCCTGTATAAAATATACGCTAACTGTAAAAAAAAGTGACAATAGTCTGTTTCCATAATAATAATAATAATATTTCCAGAATAAAATGGAGACGTCTACCTTCAATTTTATTCTTACGTAAAAAAGAACGAACATTTGTTTTTAAATGAAAACATAACTTTATAAAATGACAGTTGGAATTAAAAAATGAAAATATCCTCACTTCATCCAAATTCAATTGCCCACATTTTTTATCTTCGGCCATTTTGAACTTTAAAGATAGTTTACTTGCGCGTATGATTGTAAAACGAATAATGACTTAAGGTTTGACGATGAACAATTTATATACGATGATAATTTATTCGTCATTTCAACCAAATTACTGATAACGAAATTTATACTTTTAATATTGAGAGTGTATTTATGATTAAAGGTAAAAAACGACATATTGAAGGTGTGAATGTAGTATTGTTTATGTATATAAATTAAATCTAACGGAATGTTAGGACAAATCAACATAAAAAGCATGTATTTGTAGTATTTAGTACATAATATTGTAGCAACAGAAACTTAGTTGCAACAACTTTTCACATTCTTGTTTAGAATACTCAAGCAGGAAAAGTAAGATGCTTTTATGAACATACATATGAATATACATTGAAAATTACATGTCGCTTATGATAAAAAAAAATCTTTATGTTATAAGTATTAAATACCATGTACTTCTTCATTGAACGGTTTACCGTAACACGCGATAGTTACTAATGATTAAAATGGTATTGAAACATTTGCTCTGAAATCTAATATGTTTTTTTCTTTCGTTCTGGTATAAACTCAAGTTTTACATATTTTTTATAGTAATGTAATCATCTAACCGTTATAATTCATTTGAATAATGTTCAACAACTATAAATAGATGAATATTTTACTTCTTCCTTATTCTGACGTTGTGACTATAGAATGTGACCTAACATGCTAATTTATTGGTTCTAATATAACTTGATATTATTGTACGGACATAAAATAATGTAAACATATTGTAATTATTGTGTTTGTGCTATTGTTAATTTTAATTTGAAATTTTCAATTAAAAGAAAGAAACAGTCGTCGTAGTTGAGTTACAATATATTTTTATAAGCTTAGACACGAATGAATTATATTGTAGATTTTACTAACAAAATAACAAACAAAGAAACAAATATCGTATGTACTATACAATGATATATGTATTATAAGATAATAGTTACAGAGTTCAAAGTGAAACCAAATGAGATTTTAGTATTGTGTTGTTCATAATATTCACTAATCGGATTTACTGGATTTAAAAAATTTACATGTGCTTAAGAATTTTAAGGACAATATAATTTATAATCCAAATATGTATTTCAAATATAATTTTACCCTAGTAATACAGTGAATAATAAACTAGTATATAAGACTGTTATTTCTTATATGTTCATTTCGTCGAAATCTTTTTTTCATTTCATTGTCATGTTATTTCGATCCCGGACCAATGCCTCCATTGAATATTTTAAATTATTTATGGAATTATTCTTATAATCACACATTTACATAAAGTGCTTCTGTACAACAGCGATCTCTTAAGTACCTCAACGGTGTTGAGGTAAACAAATTTACCATAATCCCAAAATTCTAAGTACTTACATATATGAACTCGTATTAACAAAAAAATATTATATAAAATTGTGATTTGTATTATATTATTTAGAAATATTTTCCTTAAAGACATCGAAAACGATATTTTCCTTACATTTATCATCAAATAGTTTTTTTTAATCATACAAATAAAATGTTGGTACACTGTAATTTATGTATCAGTAAATATTAGTACATATTGTACAAAAAAAAAATGATAAAAATTTAAGTATCCAAAAGAAAGATATTGTTCTATCGTATTGCGTATCGCTAAAGAAAATTTATTTTTTATGTACCACATTAAGAATTGTACAATATAATAAAAAAAAAGACTATTTAAATAACCGATACCTAGTATATTTTTATTTTGGCGAACTGATTTGAAAAGTCATTAGTAAATAACAGTTGTCATCAAATATAATGTAACAAGACATCAATATGAAATTAATAACATTCACGGTCTTTATTGTGACTAAATATTTATTTCTTATACATAGTTTAAAGATATCGAGAAAAGAAACGTAATACTGTTATTTTAAAGATACATTGTAATTTGCCCTGTCGCTGACAGATCCGGGGTACACCGACATAGGGGCCGATGGCTTTCGCAGTGGTTTTAGTGAGTAGGGGCCTGCCCAGGCCGAGTCTCACACATCCCTTTCAGCCCCACCAAGGCCGGTTGCACGGTTCGTAAAAAGAGATTCCCTGCGACATCAAAAAAAAAAAGATATATTGTAATGTTAAATAGAGAACTTCTCAATTCCACTATACTTATTTATTTATTTATTTATTTATTTATTTATTTGTAATCAACAGCGTATACAGATTATATTTGTACAGTTTTTAAAACTTCATTAAGACTATGGCCAGAGAGATTACATTGTAAAGTGTTTAATATACATAATATTTTTAACAAAGTGGATAACAAAAAGAGAGTAGGTGCAAAGAAAATAATTGTTAAAACATGCAACTAGAGGATATTAACAGGTATATGGGTATTTTTATGTGCGTGCGTGTGTGTGTGTGTGTGCTTATGTGTGTGTGTGTGTGTGTGTGTGTGTGTATGTGTTGGATGATACGCGTCCTCCAAGACGAATGGGTAGGGGCAGTGATTAACTTCAAAATGTATGTTACTAAATATCAGGTCTAAGGTTCTGCCTTTGTTATTGTCAACTGTATTATGTTGTTTCAAATCAGAAAGATTGCATATGTCAATGAAATTCTCCGTAGCGTTTTGTAAATTGGCTGGTCCTTGATTTTGTATTATAGGTCCACTAATTGACCATTTAACATTCGGTAGGTTAAAGTCACCAGCTAGAATGATGTAGTCATTTGGTTGCTTGGAAGTGATTTCAGCTAGACGGGATGTTATGAGGAACGTAGATTAACCCAATATGAATGTTTCGATGCCCTTGATTTTTCAAATTTTCACTAGGTATAGTTACCCAAAGGGATTCGACACCATGACAAGCCCATTCACTACGATGTTGGATGTGTAATTTTTTTAGGGCACAAAGAAGTACACTACCACCCTTTCTCTTTGTGGAAGTTTCAATATTTCGGTCACATCTTAGGATATCGTATCTGCTGTCGCAGATTTCACGGTCATAGATACCATTTGTCAACCATGACTCAGTAATTAAAATTAAATTGAAGTTATGATTAAGAATATTTAGTCTAAATTCACTAGTTTTAGTACATAAGCCACGTACGTTTTGATAAAATATTTCTAAGGGATTAGCGCCTGATGGTATCCGTAATAAGTACCATAATATTAAGCTGCCACAATTTATTAAATTTAATAGTGTGTAGTTTTTGACTGATTCCGTAACAATGTACCAATTTACTGATTGAGAATTGGAATGACATTGGTATGGCTGAGTTACTATTTGGTTTATTTAAGTGTGTGTATCGTCGTTTAAATGTATGGAATTTGCTATATGAGTATCCAGGTGAATGGGAAATGTGTATGTAGTGCGTGTATTGTGAATATTTCCAAAACATATACATATAAAGACGTCAACAATTTAAGAATATATACAGTAAAAAGCATAGTAGAATCTTTACTAGATAATATTGAACGAATTATAATAGCAGCATATTTAGCTATAATAAGCTTCTTTTTATTTATATATGTAATGATATTATTTACTGTATGTTTTTTTATATTTTTTAGCAATGTGTGTGTTGTTGTGTTAAATGTGGTAAGTGTGATTATGAATTTGTCATGTTTTAGTGAACAGTATCCCATATACAGTTTTAAATTAAAAATGTAACAAAATGTAATTTTAACAAGCTGTAAAAACATGGTATTAACTATCTTATACTTATATGTATAACATGTTATTTTATTTTGTTCAAATCCCTTTCCGAACTTATTGATAAGGCTGGTGATTCTTCGTTCCTTCTTAAAAAAATTTAACAATTTCTGACCCAGATGAACTTGTATGATTTATCAGAAGCGATAGATTTTACCTTATTTAACAACTGCTTGTTCTTTGGGGTTAAGTGTTCGTTGACGTAGAATCTGCGACGATTCCCTCCTAATCCTATATCTGTTGTACTAATGCCTCTAACTTTCCTTAAGCCGGATAGAATTGCATCCTTAAGTTCACGATTTTTTAGTTTTGCAACAAGTGTTTTCGGTCTACCTGGCTTACTTTGCATTGGCTGAACTCGAGAGGCAAATTCAATCTGATCATCTTTAAGGGTAACCCCTGCATGCTTTGCTATCTCAATGACTAAACTAATTGGTGACTCTTTGGGTAGTTCAGGCAATCCTACGATTTCTAAGTTCGACATTCTTGCCCATTGTTGTTGGTGATCAATTTGTTTTTGCAGTTCTGAAACTTCTAAATCTGTATGTGTGATTCTTGCTTCTAAATTTTTACACTTTTCATCCAAGTTCTCATATTCAATACGTAACTGTGCATTTTCTTCCTCCAGTCTCTTAAATTCTTTGGCCATTTCCTTCCTTATTTCCGCAATAAGAGATACCTTTAGTTCGTTGAATATTGATTCCACCATAGGCTTTACTTTGCTATCGAAAATGGATTCCAATTGCTCGAAAATTGCCGAAGAACAAAGCAAAGTACCTTCCAAGTTTTCATTTTTGTGTTTTGTTATTAGATCTTGATTCAAATTAGGCGTGTTAGTAGTTGAAGAAGAAGTAGAATATTGATCAGATTCACTTTCTGTTTGAACTTGTGATTTATTGGCTTTCTTCCTCTTGTCAACCTCCGAAATGGCCACTTTACTGTTTTTAATTTTGCAATTGTGACATTTCCAATGTGCTCTTATACCGACTGAATCTTTACCAATTTTAACACATTCGGAATGGTAATATAAAAGGCAGTGACTGCACTTAATTCGCTTCTGTGTCACTGCAATATTATCAGTACAAATTTTGCAAGTAAAAACCATATTGTTCCACTTTTCACAGTAATTTCTCCACGGTAGAATTTGTATTAAATAAGCAATATAATTCAGGAAAAGGAAAAAAATAAAAATAAAAATAAATTGTCGACCGGGATCGATCCCTGATTTCTCGATGAAACACAAGTTCTCGCACCAATACACCACAACACTTTCAACGAGTGTGTCGAATGT